AACTGAGAATATTTAACCTATATAGAGACTTCATAGGCATAGTTGGAAGCAACACAGTAAACCTATCAATTTTACATTAAAAATATATAAATTGCTTCCAAAATATTGAAATTAAAGCTCTCAGATGGTAATTTATCTTCCTTTTAATTTCCCTATGCTTCTCTGCCAACATCTTTCTTCTCATTATTGGAGTGTTGTAAAACAAAGATGGAATCAGAAGTTCTATGAACTGTAGTAGCAACCTGCCCAATTATTTCTCAATAAAGAGAGCAAATATCTTTTATGTATCAAGGAAGCTAGCCAACTTAATGAGCTTGCAAACCAATAGAAAACTGTTAATCTAAATGAAGACTTTCTGTAACCTATTGCAATGGCTACAGTTAAAGCTTCAAATTTGAATATTGACTAAAATTATAATACAGCTTGTCATGCTGAAATATTAATTAGCATAACTATTACCTTTGTAGAATTGTGTTCAACTAAATAAGTGAAAAACTCTTATCTGTTTGTTAGAAAAAATAATTCCCCAGTAGCTGAGAATACGTAGTATCTGTGGATCTTTTATTTTTGTCATGCCTCAGTGTCCCCATACTGTTGTATACCATCATATACAGTGGAGTACAGTTGGACAGTACCTATCAGAATAGCCCAAGGAAGTAAAACATGCTTAAATAGCACCTTTCCAACTAAGAAGCCATGGGGAATTTTTCACCCAAGTTTGAAGCAGGGAGGAAACTGGTGCTGAAATGGCATCTTTTGGTGACCAAAGAGCATAGAAACAAGAGCCAGGTTTTAGAAGAGATTTTTTTTGTTTGTTTTTAATTTAACTGTAATTCAGTGACAAACATAGCTGTGGTGGATTCCAGGAAAACAGGTCAGGTTGTGCCTGCTACATGAACTCTGATCACACTTATCTAGACACTGTGCTGGATGCTAACTAAGAGATGCTGATTGATTTTAGAAAAACTGTTTACATGTCTACATGTAAACTTTTTACATGTCTACCTGTTCTCACAACCTTTCTTTAGAGATAAGCTCTCAACATCAGTTGGTTTTACCATATAGGAATAAAGCCTATGCTGTAATGCAAAGGCAAGTCCTGGTTTGAGTTGCACCATCATCACACCTTGAACTGTCTTTGAAATGGAAGTTCAGAAAACCGTATAGAAGTGGTGGGGACTGAGCAAGGCCTTGTAAGTCTTCTTGAATTACCTCAGTTAAGGAAATTATGTTTAATTTTGAACTTTCAGGTTTTCACCTTTTTTAAGTTTTGAATTTTCACTGCATAAACAGAAGGGCATTGTTTTACCTGACTAAACAGCTCACATGATAGTTGTTTTCTGAAGTCGAAGTGATGGGTATGAAGAGTCTGGTACCTAAGTGCAGATAGCCAGGAGAGTTCTAGGTTATTAGTTCTCAAATGGGAACCGGAATGCTCATATTTTTTATCTTTTCTATTTTATTTTTTTTTTAATGCAGTTACATAGAAAGCCACTTCTATTCTGGCTGGTAATTGTCTCCTACACAGCGGTTAGAGTGCTCTCTGCCTTCTCCACTATTAGGAATAGTGTGCTACAATGAAACTAATAAATGAAATTATTTTTGTGTGTTTGCTTGATGGTGTTATCTTAAAAATAATGGGCTTGAAAGGAAAAATGTATGATTTTTTGTAGTTTACTGGTTTTAGTCTGAAAGTCTTAGCAAATGTGGATTACCAGAAGACTTTCTCAGAACTGTCACTGATAGAAAAGATGGATGATGCTGTCATATTTTTACATCTGAGCTTCCAAGGTATATTATCACAGGTTTCAGCAATGACACATTGGGGGTTGTTATGATCCAGCTAATGAGAGATGCCTCTGCCTGAATTAAGGTGCAAACAAGACCATATGCTGGACTCAATAATACTGATTTTATTTAATAGTAAATGTGAGGTAGAGCAATATAAAGAAATAGAAAAGGAGAGTGAATAGATAGAGTGAGAGATCAAGCAGAAGACAGTCACCACCAGTGGATCCAGCAGTGTCCTACTGGTCTTTCTTCACCCTGTGCTTCTTGGCGGGAGGGAGTGTCGCAGAATTGTTCTTATGGGGCTACCACCTTTCTACAGTGCAAGTTCTGGGTATCCATGCAGTGGTCCTAGATGTTGTTCCCATAACTTGGGGTGATATATGTATGAGTAGTAGCTTCCTTTCCAAAGTGGGAATTTTTGTCCCGATGCATTATCCAAGTTTGAGTAAGATCTCTTACTATTCTCTCTTTTGAGGCTGACAAACCCAGTGACTTCAACCTCTCCATGTGCGTCACATCAAGCACTCCTGCCTCCTGACCAACTTTGGTGTTTTCTGTTTGACTTGGTTCAGTCAAGGTCTTTCTTGTACTGGGGAGCCCGTAGCTGGACCCCGTATGATACAAGTCATCTCACAAGTGCTGAAGAAGGGAGTAATGACTTCCCTCAACCTGCTGTCTTTGTGTTTACTAATCCAGCACAGTGCATGGCACCACAAGGGTGCACTGCTAACTCACAGTTAACTAGCTGTCCACCAGCAATCCCTGGCTCTCAGGTCTTTCTACACAGCTGCTATCTAGCCTGTAGATGAGCTCCAGCCTGTAAAACTAGCATCAGGTTATTCTATTCCAAGTGCACAGCTTTGCGTGCATTTGGGCTGAAGATTAAAATAATTTCTCATGGTGGGGACTGGAGAAAACCAGGAGAACCATAAAATTTAATTTATTTTGTATGGGGCTTTCTCAGTTATTTCTTAGTGCATTACTTACTTTAGTTACTAAGTCTTAGATATCAGCTGACAGGCAAGATGTAGTGCTCCTTAAATGTCTAATGAAGTTATCAAAAATACCTTATATAAACACCTTATATAAAAATTCATCAATTATTTCATTGATATTTCAGTTGCATCAATCCAATACCTGTTTAATCACTGCCTACTTCAATAGAATATAATTAGAATTGCATAAGACTTTGATTTAAGCTGCTGAACTGTCCTTCCTAAGCAATCGCACAGACACATACTTAATTAGGAACTCTGGCACTTATTTGATGCTGACATACTGAATTTAAACACCAACCTAAATCAGTACTTATCCCAGGATTTACTGCACTGATTGAAGATTTTAATTAACACTTCCTGAAACAGCATTTGTTAATAAGGGGTATCTAACTTACTGGGTAAGCAGTAAATTATGAAAATTCCTTACTGCTTGTTAAAAAAAAAGATAAGCTGTCTAGGTGCCTTTAATGGATAGAATTTACTTTCCTGACTGTACTGTTTGATAGACAACTATCCAAAACATCCAACAGTTTTCACCACAACTTTTTATCTCCTAGAACTCAGATATGAATAAATAATGCTCCCTTGTAAAACATGTTATCTTACCCTGCATACACATTTGAGAGGGACAACCTTTTGGTTCCTACCTCCAATATAAAAAGTGTTCTATTAAGATAAATTTTTCTTTATAGTTATAATGATTTTAAGTTTAGTTTCTTACATCTCCTTACAAATGAAGCCCTCTGGTCCTCTGACTAGAATACATTTTCTACACTTTAAGGGAATAAATATGGATGTAGCAAGATGATTGGACACTGGAGTAAACATATTAGATACATCAGAAACTGTTTACTAGGGAGTAGTTCCTGGACATTTCACAGAAAGTAAAGTTGTGAGGGGCAAGCAAAACACGTCTCTACACAACAGACACATTTTGCCCCTCCTTCCTTTAACTGAAAAAAAGATCGAGAGAAGGCAACAACAGGTCATAATGGAGCCAAAAAAAATTAGAGGATTCCCTGAAATACTAGAAAGGTGCTATGCCTTGATCTGTGCTCTGAAAAAGATTCTTTCAGTGGTAAAAACCATTTTCTATTGTGAAAGAGACCTGTAATTTCCACAGAGGTGTAAAACTGGACAACCTGGCTACAAAAAAACCAAAACAACAAAAACCCCACAGTGCTGGAAACAATACCTCATGGGATAACACCAAAGGACAGCATCAACATGTCTTTCCCACTGCTCAAGATGCTGCACTACTTCCTTCAAAAATCCTGAGATAACAAAGACTAAGAAACCTGGTCTAAAGCTCAGGAGCATCCAAAATACAGCCTCTATAAATATACCCTTTCTAATGGCTCTGATATTCTTCTTCATGGTTAAGTAACCATTAAGTATACAGACAAAAATTTGCACATCAACCATCTTTGGAATTCAGCATCTTAGTAAAGCTTGTTAAATTGCAAGACTTCTGCTGGGAATTCAGCATCTGCAAAGACTAAAATACTCTAAATCCAACATTATTTGAACAATATTATTCTATCTAATCATATATCCAACATGTACAAGTGAAGAGAAAACAAAATTGATTTGTCTCTTCTGTTGCCATTTCCTCACACTGGTAAATGATGAGATATTTGGTCACCGTCTAGTCAATGACAGTCCTGAAATGAAATGAAACGCAAGTGTTTTTTTCAGGCAAAGATTTCCAGTTAAGATCTGTTTTCCAATGTTTATACACCTGCAGCATGCCATCTTCATCCTCCAAAAATATCCTGAAAAGAAAGTCCAAACTTACTGGCAGCTGAGGCAGCAAGACAAAAACTTTCCAGCTGTCTTTCAAGAATTCTTCAATCTCAGATCACTTACTGAATTTTTGAAGCCATCTTGCCCTTCACCTGAAATATCACGTCAGGCTTTTGCTGTTGGAAATGCATGGCCTGGTATAAAACTTTCCAGAGGGGGCAAGTTCAAATTATTTCAAACTTCTAATTTTCAGACTGCTTGCTTTTTGAGTCTTCTTGCCACTTATTGAACTCTGATGATAAAGTTTTTACATCATCCTTCCACCTCCATTTATCATTCTGTGTTTGTTACACCTAATGAGCAAAGGGGCTTTAAAGTTACATTAGTACCCACTTCCCCCCCAACCTCCTTTACAGTCACAATTACAACTGAATGATGGACAAACAACAATGAAGGGACCATCAGTTAAAATCATACATTTTATTGCCAAGTAGCATTTAGGCTGACATAATAAAGAGTTTTTCAGATAACCAAAATGTACATTTCTATTTAAAATCATTTCTCCTGTACTTCTGAATTCCAAGAAGATAGCACAATCTCCATTTCCTGGGGAGCCCTCTTTACTTGCTTCATTCTCCATACAGCACACATTTAAAAACCACTTCAAATCCAAGAAATCATACTTTTATTTCAAAATTTGAGGAAAAGGACTCCCCAATTTTCCATTTAAAGTCTTTACTGTTTCTCTGTGATGTCTCAGTGTTCCAACTCTGGAATACCAAGACAAAGTTTGCAAACAACTCCAAAGCACTGAACTTTCAATTTAGATTTATTTTAGGTTTATAAAGAAAGTAATTTTATATCAGTAACTTGAAAAAATCCAGTAAAATATAAATCTATCAACAAATAAGTGTTGTAAAACAATTTTACTTTGCTCATTTAGTTATGAGGCAGATACTGTACAAAACTGCCACAGAAACAGTGGTATTGAAGTCTACTTATACATCTTATACAATTTTAAGTTAAACCCATGCACTGAATATTCAGAGCACTTTAAACATGTTAAACAACACAGATAGGCAATAGCAGAGCCCAAATGCCATAGCATCTGCCTATTTTATACACAATTTTAAAAGCACTTCATGAAGTTGCATGAATTCCAACTGACATCACAGAACTTATTTCAAAAGATGTTTATTGCAAAGTACTTTTTTGAAATAAATTTACGGGGAACAATATTATTCTTAGGGCTCTGGAAAATTACTAGCATATCAAAGCTGAAGTCATAGTTCCAGTAATGTCAATAGGATTTTTGCCACTGACTTCATTGATGCACTTCTTTTATCCACTCATTTTTCTATTAGATAAAAGGTGTAAAGGCCAGCTCAGATTTACAAAATAGCTATTTGGAAAATATTTCCATGAGGCACACGTGCAATATTAAGGATGAGTTATCACATATATCAAAGCGACATCCTTTATTACTATTCCATATGAAAGTCACCAATACATTGCAGCAAAAGCAAACAAAAACAGAGAGGACAGCACCACTGTTAACCTTTGCTGAATTCCTTGAGGCTAATGTAACTGTTCTGGGGAGAAAAATATCAATACTTTTCTTTTTGGTATTACTTTCATGGGTAAAAGGTATAGTATTGTGGTTTTAACCAAGTTATTAAAATGCATTAAAAGAAAGATTTGGCACATGTGACACATTGCTTAATAACTACAGGTATGCTCCAACAGCCATGATTTAGAGACGTGTGACATATGGATCTATAAAAATCTTTTAACATTCATGTAGTTAAGAGGTTAGTGATGGAAGGATGACTTCTCAGTATTAAAAGATTCAGTAATAATTCTTGAGAAGCTAAAGACTACCTCTGTTTTCTTATTACAAGCAGTGGCAGATACTTGATTGCTGAAGTGCATCTCAACAAGGTTCACATTTTTTTCTTAAAGCCATAATCTGATGAGAATTCCGAAAAGCAGAGCTAAAAATAATGCTATGAAAACCTTTTAAGTTTTAAATTTCAAATCAGAGGTGTAAATGTGATGTTTTGACTATATTCATGTGAAACTGTGAAAAGTTAGAAGGCTTCAGCTTTATTCTATTTATTATAAACTAAATCACCTTGGTTTTCTGTAATGTTGGGTCTATATGTGTTCCAGTGTATATGCATCTAACTCAGTTCACTGGAAATGTGTACCAGCTCCTGTCCAGAACCCTACCTTTGCAGTATAACTATGTACATTCTCCCTAAAGGTCTTACTAGCTTGAAATCCTTGCTGTATTAACTCAGTGCTATAGCTCTGAGTTTCAAAATCAGAAATAACCTTCATTTGGTCACACTGAGCTGGCACATGTCTGCAAGCTTTTCATACATATACTCACTCCTTACAATGAAGGGATTGAAGAAATACGTTCCTGGAAAGATGCAGAGTAACTTATTCTTCAGCTGACCTTACCAAGGCATTACACCTTGTAGAATCAAACCGTAATTTGCTTAAGAAATTAGTGGCAATATAAGCTGTATTGATTCATTTTTCATTTCTGTTCACAAAGTATTAGACAAAAATACATAAACCCAATTTAAATCACTACATATAAATTAGAAGCCTGAACACTCCTGAGGGTACCTGTTCTACCTGAAGCACTTCAAAAAGTTTAAGACTGCATTTTTAAAAATGTGAAACAACAAACTCCTACAAAAATAAATGATAATAGCATGCATTTTAATTTTCAAAACGTTTGGGGGACAGATACGGTCTATGAATTTGCTGCTCGTTCTTTCATGTTTCATGAGCTGTTCAATTGGAATGTAGCCACAGAATGCTTTCTAGTTAAGGCTCAGGGTCATATGATAACTCTAAGTGAATCTAAGCATGCATAACTGCCTTCCATTTTCTTGGCAACAAATCTCACACTACAACATGCTGGCTGAAAATTAAATCAACAGATGACCAAGTCACCTGCTAGATCTGTTTCTTCTTCATGCTAAGGCCCTTTTAGCAGCAGCCTCTGATGCAGTGCAGTGGACTCACCTCTAGTGCTAATTATAGCAACCACAAGGATCAAGAAAAAGAGTGCATCAGTGTCAGAGTTCCTAAAGTTATTAATATAAAAACCCTTCTCCTCAAGAGAACAGATATAACTCAAATTCAGAGCTGTACCACCTCTTCCAATCAGACCTACAATCTCCTCTCCCAGAGAGCTACTCATCTATCTTAAATCAAGATCTGGAAACAATTCACCATCTATAAGACCACTCTGGTCTCTTTCAGTGTTTAAACTGTCATCCCATTTTGTTGATGGCATTTCCATAAAACAAAGATCTTCCACTGTCAAACAGTTTAGGCAGATGGTCTTATAAATTTTACAAATATTATTCCAAATTCATAACATACTTAAACCAAACCTCACACATTCATCTTAAGCTTGCACAGTACAGAAAAAAATGTAAGCCCCAATAAAACCATGCACAGAACACCAAAATACATATAAAGTCTGATTTTTGATTTTGTTCAAGGTCTTGAACAAAGATGATGTTATTAAGTACTACTAAACCAAGTTATAGTAGTAATCTTGTGTTGTAGGGTTGGGTTTGTTGTTGTTTGGCTTGGGTTTTTTCCTTTGTTTTTGCCTGTTTGGTTTTTTTTCTGTTTTAACACATCAAATTTGAGATAAAGTAAAGTAACTTGTAATCCCCACCTGCCCCAAATGCTGGTTCTTCAGATACTACAGAAAGTCTGCGCTCTTAATAGGCATTTATCTATATATTCATACTTAAGTTTTATATTTCCTTCCATGTAAAAGAGTAACTCAAATTCCTAAATTTATCCCATTAACACAAAAGTGGATTAATAAAACATGAAAATACTTTGAAAATTTTCTGACCAGTATTTTTATCACAGATTATTTCTGGTCTATTTTAAATTTGTGTATGATCTGTCAAAATAAATCATAGTGATTTATTGTTGTTCTTAATATCTCAAAAATACATTTGATTACCACCAGTTCTCTTGCTTTGAAGGCATCAACGAAAATATACATCATTCTGACAGCACATTAGATTAAAAATTGCAACAAACCCAGGTTTAAAAAGCTATACTACTATTAGATATTATGCACTCACGTAAACTGTTAAAATGCATAACTTTTTAAACTATCACAATCTATCTAACTGTAGATGTTAAATCATGAATATGCTGAACAACTGATCATTTGACAGATAATCAAAAAGCACCTCACACAATAACTTAGTATCTTCACCTTTAAACTTCTGTATCATAATCAACATGATTCTGATACATCTGAATGATTATACATCAATCACTTCAGTCCTGGACATCAAAGTAGTCAATTACTGGCTCTTCTTTTAATGGTTTGGATAAGCCAATATTTCCACTACTCCTGAAATTATAAGAATATTAGATGTTACTCACATGCATGAAAAACAAGATACAAAGTAAACTGAAATCACAAACTCACATAGTGTCTCAGTGTGCACATGTATACTGCTTTGGTAAATGGCATGCACTTCTAAATTATGTTTCAACAGAAGTACCTTAACGCTCCAGAAAGCCTTTGTTGACTGATTTTTGGAAAAAACATACTTTATTAAATTAATGTACATCAATATGTCTGAATTGCTAAATTTGTTTCAAGGTTTTACCAGAAAATATAATTTACAATAATTTTGTAATATTTATTACAAAAATTATACTGTACTGAAGATTAAATGTTCAAAATGCCTTTTTAAAAGAAACAGCAAAAGAAATACTGTTAAAGTGAGCTGATGATCACATGTGCTTGCTTTTAAAAGCAAGAGTAACAAAAAATACATGGGTAATACCAAATCCAAACACTGTAGAAATTTTTTCAGTAAGACAGTATGAGATCTTCCAAAAGATTTTTTAGAATTAAGCACTCTAAAGAAATTTCACTTCTAGTAATTACAATACATGCCTAAAGCCCTTTATTTAATTTTGCCACATGACTTCTTTACGTGAATTAGGGCCACTGAAGACAGCAATCCCACAGAAGTGGAAATGAAAATAATTACAGGTATCTGAAGATGGCAGGTCATATGAAGCAAAGACTGTTCTATTAAGACTATTCAACAGGAAGCCTTATATATCCCACCTTCAGTAGTTTTCACTATCTGATAAAAATGGTAGTTTACCTTCAACCAACTGTGTAGTCACATCTACACAACAAAAATACATTTACTACGTGTCCAAATAAACCGTGCCAGTAAGACATTACTCTTGTATAGAGAATGGTTAAAGTTAAAAAAAAAAAATTCTCAACTCTCCAAAATGGCACTCTCTTCCCAACTATCTAATATTTATTATAAAATAATTTTAAAACTCCATAATATTTGTTTTATCACTATCTCTGTATCACATAGCCAATCCTACATTTTCTTCTCTTTTCATTTCAGGCTTACTTCTGTGAAAAGAATATCTTAGTGCTTGCTGAAAGCTCCAGAGCGTTGTGTGGATTAGGAAAAAAAAATACACAGGGCATATAAAGCTGAAGCTCAGGAACCTGTTCCTCAGGTAATTCAGCACAAAACTGAAAAACACTGTTTTGAAATGAATTCCTTACCTATCTGTTTGTTTGTAATGAGGAATAGGAGGTGGAGGCCTGCTCTGCATTTCTTTATCTAGCACAGAAGTTAAGGTATTGCTTGGACAAATGGATTTCCCTCTAAAGAAATAAAAGAAAGGTTATTTAATTCAATAGGAAATTATATTCATTAAGAAGTTGGGAAAGAGTAATATTTGTAAGCAGCAGTTTTGCTGTCAGAGTTCATACCTGTATACTTAAATAATTTATTCAAATATTTAACTTTCCAACCATGGAGACTAACAGTGCACAAAGTACATTTTCATTACCAAGAAGAAGATATCCAGTACTCTAAATGTCCCTTCACAGAATCACAGAATATGCTGAGTTGGAAGGGACCTACAAGGATCCAACTCTTAGCCCTGCACAGGACCATCCCCAGGAGTCATAGCATGTGCCTGAGATTATTGCCCAAATGCTTCTTGAATGCTGTCAGGCTTGGTGCTGTGACCCCTTCCCTGAGGAGCCTGTTCCAGTGCCCAACCACCCTCTGGGTGAAGAAACTTTTTCTAATATCTAACCTTAACCTCCCCTGGCACAACCCTCGAGTCCTGTCACTGGTCACCAAAGAGAAGAGATCAGTGTCTGCCCCTCCTCTTCCTCTCACAAGATGCAGAAGCAGCTTACTAGATCTGAGCACTGGTACTCAGACTCCTTTTCTGCATATGAAGTGTACAACTCCTTTCTCCTATGAAATGCACAAAATGATCAACTATTAAAATATCAAAAATGCAGTACTTAAACTCTAGGGCAACATATATCTGTTCTTTCAGAGAAAAAGATAAAAAATCAGAAGGAACAACTTAAAAGCTTAACTCAGCATCACGAGACCACAGTTCACTAAATCTTCACAACATGTTATCTAATGTTTGGAAGCACCTTCTCAGACTCTGGCAGTAAGTCATGTAAAAACCTGTTGATCACTGCAAAGCCCTGCTAAGCAGCACTCTCCCAGGAACAGTGCAGCAACACTGCCTCTTCCTTGTCAGCTAGTCCAGGTGAACCAGATCTGAGAAAAAACATTCTGCATTAGAGAGGGGAAAGAAAAAAATCAGATCTTTCTATCCTCCACACTAGTTACAATCTATTATGATTGTGATTGCCACCAAACAATGAAGCATCCAGTTTGTGCTTGTCCCGTCTGCAGTGCAAGGGTCACTGTAAGGCTATGGTTGCAGGGCAGTATTTTCTCCAGTATAGGAGGACAGTGTACTTTACCAGTTATATGCTTTAGACATATACTGGCTGTGAATCACGGTCAGCTTCAGTTGGCAGTTTGTGCCAAAGGCTGAACTCGCTGGAGAGAGAGAAAGGATATTAAAAAAATCTGAAAACAAACAACCCCCAACACCCAGGAAAAAAAAGTAGTCCTAGGAAGATTGTTCCAAAAAGGCATTTCATTTAGAAAAACCCAAATAATTACCAAACACACTATATCTCTATTAGGTTGTGGAGATGTCTTAAAATTTCCTCTAAATTCATGAGAGACTTTCAAGAGTAAACTTGCTTTATTTGACTGTTACAATTTACTGCAAGACTGAAAGAGCTTCCACTATCAGCACCTTTCCCAGTCACAGTTTCTTCTTCATCTTTTCTGGGGGCAGATAAGCTGAATAAATCAAAAATCCTAAACTTTGTAAAGCTCCATTTCTTATACTTTTGCATTTTCCTCTAAACTCGTGCTACTGATATTTTCAGACCAAACTACTTCTTGGTACACTAAACTGAACTGCTTTCCTATTTCTATCAGAATGGTTTATATTGGGTATTAGGAAAAACTTCTTCCCCAAAAGAGTTGCCAAGCACTGGAACATGGTGCCCGGGGAAGTGGTTGAGTCACCATCCCTGGAAGTGTTTAGATGTGTAGGCATGGTGTTTAGGGACATGGTCTAGTAGTAGACTTGGTAGTACAATTGACTCAACGATCTTAAAGGTCTTTTCCCAACCTCAATGATTCTGTGATTCTGTGTCAAGCATTAAATAATGTTTCCTCCTTATTTACTTCATTAATGCACTTTTAAATAAACTCCTCCAGACCATGAAATTCTTTGTGTTTACTAATTACATTACATTCTTACTAATTACATTAGTAATTACATTACATTCTTACTCAATGAATTCCTACAAGATGAACAGGAGGACAAAGGTAGATGGAAGAATATATTGCTGTCTTCTTTCATTTTTATAAACTGTGATGTGCAAAAACATGGAAAGCAAATTGCCTGGCAGTAAATAAGCAAAAAAAAGAAAGGCTAGAAAGCCCTTCTCCAAGGTGTCTGTCCTTACTCTAAAACATCAGATTAAACCTCACTTGTATAGTAAAAAAAAAAAGAAAATAAGTGAGAGCTCTGGAATGCAGGAAAACAGAACACTTGGAAGAATACATGTGCACTAATTTTTACAATTAGCTATAAAAAAAAAACTTACTGAAAAAAAGAGGATGTTCCTGCATTTCAAGAAAGTAAATCATGAGCTTTGCTCTAAAGTTAAGTTTTCCCAGAATGCAGAAGATTAATATAATAAACCTTTAAGAATTAGGAGGGATCAAAGCCTTGTGGACAGTTAGAGATGAGCATGGAAACAAATTTGCTTTGGTCACATCAAGGCCTAAACCTGTTTTAGCTTTGACAAAATTTAGCATCCCTCCAATAAAAAGCAGAAGAGATACACAACAGACTGTTTATCCAGGAAATGACAGAGGTTTTAGAGACAAAGATCCATCAACTCACACTCCAGAAAAATGTATACCACTTCCTGTATACCTTGGTGACACATGGGACAAAATTAGACTTGACTACAATTTCCCTAAAATTCTGTGAACTGATTGGTTTAAAAAAAAAAAAAAAAAAGATTAAACAGTCATCCACATTTAGCTCATGTGGAAAAAACCCAAACAACTGAATTCAATTAAAGAGATGTACAATGGGGAAAAAGCCACTTTGTCTAATTAATTACCATAAATAAGAAAGAAAGCAGACTCTTCCTAACCTGCCATGGCTATCTAGCATCAGTTGTAACAGAACAGTGGATATGAAACCAATAGGGTCTGCAAGTACTTTGGACATTTTGATATGAAAGTTGCCATTCTTCATTTTCTTAAACTATTCTCAAGTAAGGAAAAAAACCAACTGCCTGCCTCAAGCAACAAAATTGAGATGAAAAATTTTTAACAGCAGTACAGGGAAAGTAATAACATAAACTATCCATTGATTTTAAGGCACTGCTAGTGCTGACAGGATGGCCTGTTGTATAAAACTGAATTGTGGAAATCAGGATTAAATTTATCTTCTCCTTCAAGACTGCAAGTTTAATTTTCATAACTACAGGATGGATCAGCACTGATCTGTTTTGGTACGAACTACTACAAAATTCTTTGCCACTAATCTGTCCAGACTTACTCCATGTAGTCTTGCAATATTGATCCATCAGTTTTCAGACAGAGCAGATTTTTGTGAAAAATGTCTCCAAAAATTGATACAGTTTGGGTGGAATAATGAAGCAAACGGCTCTCAAATGTCACTGTGGCAGGATGTGGCTTTCTCAGTGAGAACCATATGGGACCCTGCCACCTTATTGAAAAGTCCCTTTTGTATCTGTATCTTCCTGGAAAGAACAGGAAAAGGATGGGTCTTACAGGGATGACTGCTCTCAAAAACACTTCCAGGATGTCTCAAGTCCATACAAGCTGCTTAAACAGTGGTCACTACATAACAACAAGCAGACACTCCTTTAACAGGCTCTGTAATCAGAGCTATTTGGAGAAAGAGGACATTCATATGAGTAAAAGACTTCAAAAAACCACTGACAAGAACAGTGCAACAAATGTGTGTGCTTGGAGAGGAAAGCTTTACGCTTTTCACCATAGTAGTCTGGACATTACCTCTAAACCAAGTTCAGAGAGAATGTGGTATTTCAATGGCTAAAAAGATGGAGACTGCAAAGATGACCAAGAGGGAATTACAGAGAAGGGCACTTGCAAGGATTCACTAGGGGTCTTACACTTCAAATGACACCAAAACTGTAATTCAGATCAAGCTTAATTATCAATACTGGGAATAATATTCTCCATGGTTACACATGGGCAATACTGTACATCAGTGATTCTAATGCAGTGATTCTAAAGGTGATGGAGGCAGGGCCTGAGGGCAAAGCAGGTTTTATGGCATTTGCTCCTAGATATCCAGAAGAGGAAGAAGCCTGATTAGAAGAAGCTTTCTAAGCACCAAGGAGACCTTCTCACTCCTCTGCCCTACCTGTATGGTGATGTTACCATTTCAGTGCCACAATGGGGGAGTGTGAAGAGGAGGAATGGTCTTTTAGCCTGATTTATTTTGCATTATTTATACGTGAAGGAACTCATGATAGAAATCCACAGAGAATGCTGAGAACAGAATGAAACATGACTTTCCAGTGATTACTAGCTCCTGGAATTGGAGAAGCTGTTGTGAAATACTCAAGAATATCAGCATGGAACTTGGGCCTACCACTTGTCTGAGGCTACAATGTTTTTTGTCTAGAAGAAGTGGCAAATAAAAAGACAATTGAAAAGAAGCTTCGGATGAATCCACTGCATGAAGAAATATTGCTATGCAGATGGAGAATATTCTTAGTAGACCACCAAGTGTCTTTTAAGAGTAGCAGTGATGAAACAGAAGCATGTACATTCTGTGCAGTATGCTATTCCCTGAACAACACAAGGCAAGGAGCAAGAGTGTAAACTCTTCTAAAACCATAGACGAGGGCTTCCCGTTCTCAAGATGCAGGATATGCCTTTGCTTTTAAAGGATAGTCATCTGTCCTGCTCCTTTTTCTGGCATTTTATCCTCTTCATTATTTTCTACACCCATTTATTTATTTTTCTTAGGTAAGTTCTTTCAAGTATGATCTCTTTTCTCATCTTCTGTACTTGAAACAAAAAGTATCTTACATTGTAAAATCAAAGTGATGCTCCATCTCTCTTGGAAGAAATCAAGATTGTAGCTAAGCTACCAACGAATGAACAAGTTCGGGAACAGTTCATGGCACTCTAGTAGCACAGAGGGTGACAGGTTTCTTATGACTACAGTTAAAAACAACTGGTTGTCAAAGAATCACAATCTGACAGTGCTAAACTAAATATGCTGTTGAGTGAGGAGCAGAATCAACAAAGTCCTGACACTGGAAACCGTCCCATACTACGTCTCCAGTACAATCACCTTGCTTTCCCCCTATATTTCCTTCCTTTTCTTTTCTAACATGAACTGCCTTCCATGAGTCTTCTCCAAATATTTCCATTTTTGCTTAAAAATCTCTTCAATTTGCAGTAATTCCAGCTCCCTCTTTGTCCATTAACTAGCGGTAGCATACTCTGTGGTAGGTTCAGACAGATGGAGAATTAATATGTTACAATAACCAGATTTTATCAAAGGTGATGTAAATTTTATGTATGATTTCTCAACCCATCAATTAGTTTTTATAAAACGTTTTTACATATTTTCTTCGATACGTCTATCAAATTTAGCTGATGACAAAAAGTTACTACAAAGGAGAACGGAAAACCTGGCAAAATATTTTCTTAGCTTTATTACTTCTAATTGTGTTTTTTTCTCTGAAGATATAATTGAGTAGTAGAAATAGAAGCCCATTAAACTATCAATTCAAAAACCGCTTTAAAAATTTTCTACTAGAAATTAGTGCATTTTTCAAATTGCATTGTAAATAAACTCATTCTGGTAAGTGATAAAAACATCCAATTACTTAAACTATGCTTAAAAGATTTGAAAGCAATAACGAATTACGTACTTCACTGCAGTAATAACAACATTGCGCTTTGGTTCGTTGTCATAGCTCACACTTTCAATACCATAAACCTGAGCTAATTCATGGATGATTCTGCGGTGATCTCTGTTCATTGGCGGGTAACAATGACTCTTCTTTGTATGCTTGCCCTGAATTCAAGAGAAAAGGTTAAGAAAATAAAAAAAAGAAAAGGTGAAGTTTTCCTTCAGGGAAGCCAGGGGAAAGAAAACAAGAAAAAAGAAGTGCTTTTACCTCTAAAATTTTGTTGCTATGACATAATTAGTACCACAAATTGCTAAGACCTCAGTATTTACAGAAAGCTCATCTGAAAATACTTATTTAATTTAAAAAATTAACTTATATGTTCTCTATTATTTCCATCACCTCAAAGTATACATACACCCAAGCAGGGGTATCTTTTAAGTTTGAAATACAAATCCTGATTATAGTCATTCTACTTATATCCCAAAGAAGGAATACAAAATTATTTTTATCTGAATTTTTATTTTTCAGAATGATCTGCCAATTTGCATGATATCTAATTTTATTTTTCAGACTGGCTTTGCAGTGCACATATTGCAGATAGCTACAAAGGTGTCAAATTTATCAATCACCTCCCTCTACCCAAGAAGCTATTTATCTGCAAAATCCCTGACATAATGGCATCAATAGATTCTTTATTAAATAAAAAACCCAAATTTCTACTTTTAATTTCAGTTCACAAAGACTGATAATGCTTGATTTGACACTGATTACTATACAAATATTAAAAGAACGAAAAAAACAGGGCCCTCTGCAGGGCCCCCTACAAAAAGTCAGTCACCCCATCCTTAATGGAATGATCAATTTGTAACAACAAACACGTATGAGGATGAGTCACTCAGTGCTTCAGGACACTGCTTCAGCTTTTGCCTTGGTTATCACCAACAAGGTCTTCTAGGTCTTTGGATCTACAGAGAAGGTTCAAGGGGAAGAAGAACGACCAGCAGTAGAATAAGTTTGAGTCAGGGATTTCTAGAGAAATCCCAACCTATGTAAGTTCCTGAGACTCTAGGCAGTGCATAAAAGAGCACTGAGAGAGTAGGATGATGTCCTACTCTCCATCATCTCTGAAAGATTACTGTAAAGAATGGAGTAGGAACTCAGTGACTAGAGAAAGGTAATTGTTGCAACTGTATTAAAAAAAAAAAAACAAAAACACAAAACAAAGCCCAAGAACTACTGACTGATCAATTCAAATTGAAAATTCAAATCCATTTTCAGGTACATAAAGAAGGTCCCTGGCAATAATTAATGTGGATTTACAAAAGGTCAACCACCTAAATTAGTGTAAGGACTACCACATGTAATAGAGCAAGTCATCAGGGGTACACTGCAGCTATTGGGGAAAATAGAGGGCTAATATTTGTCTCCTCTTAGTTTGTAAAATTGCTAAGTTACAAACAGTAACTGGATTTGAAACTAGTCAACCATTTCCATTAGGTCTTCGGGGTAATCACATGCTGACAGGATATAACCTTTACTTTGCAATAAACAGTAATAAACCTCCCAGCTGTTACGACACTTGCAGCATACAAACAAACATTTGAATGAAGAATTCTATAGATTCTGTACCTATTTATGAAAATGAGTACGCTTACTTTAAGAAAGTGGTGATGGTTCCATGCTCTGAAAAACAACAGAATTCCTGGCCATACACAGGCATACATGCTTCCTGTCTGCTCTGCTTACACATATCACTCACAACAATTCTGCTATGCTAGATGAGCACATACTGGTAAGTGTAGGGCAACAGATGTTTGTGAGGCAAGCAAAGTCTCTGCACCCCAACAATCTTCCACAGGCGGCAGGGGCCTCAGCTCTCAGTCTTTCCCCTGCTGGAGGGGGAGAGGGAGGCCTCCCTGGACCTCTCCTCCCCCCTCCTTCTGCTCTGACCTTGGAGTCTGCTTGTTATCCCATGTTCTCCTCTGCTCTTCTCTGGGCTGGAATTTCTTCTGCGCCACAGGCTTCTCTTCCTCTGTTCTTAAATATGTTATCACAAAAGCACATTTCATTGGCTTAGCCTTGGCCATCACCAAGCAAGTTCCTCCTGGAGCTGGCTGTCATTGACTTCTTTATAGGATAGGACAGTGAAACTTCTAGTAGCTTCTAACTGAAATCGCTCTATAGCCCCCTCCGGCTGCTAAAACCCATGACAGACTTTCACAAAAATAAATTCATCGAAGGTAAGTACAGTATTTCTCCCCCTGCACCTGGGGAAGAATAACCCCATGCACTGGTACAGGCTGACCTGCTGGAAAGCAGCTCTATGGAGAAGGACTTGGGGCAACAATGAGCCAGCAGTATGCCCTTGTAGCACAGGGCCAGTGGTATGCATTAGGTGCACTAGGAAAAGTGTGTCCAGCAGGTTGTGTCAGGTAATAATGTCCCTTTACTCAGCCCAGGTGTGAGGCCTCACCAGGAATACTGTGTCCAGTTCTGGGCTCCTCAGTACAAGGGACACATGGAGCTTATGGAGTGAGTCCAGCAAAGAGCTACAAGGATGACAGCAGACTGGACCATCTCAAGAGGATAAGCTGAGAGAACTGGGCCTGTTTAACCTCGAGAAAAGATAACAGAGGAGATTTTATTTATTGTTACTTATTTTGTCTGTAAGTATCTCAAAGGAGACTGTCAAGAGCATGGAGCCAGGCTCTTCTTGGTAGTGCCAACCAATATGAAAAGAGGCAACAGGCAGAAATTGATGCACAGAAAGTTCCACCTGAACGTAAGGAAGAACTTCTTTAATATGCAGGTGACTGAGCACCTGAATAGGTTGCCCAGATGGGTTGTGCAGTCTCCCTCACTGGAGATATTAAAGAAATGTCTGGATGCAACCCGATGCAATATGCTCTAGGATGACCCTGTTGAGCTGGCAGGCTGGACTAAATTATCCCACTGTGGTACCTTTCAACTTTACCCGTTCTGTGATGACTACAAACAGATGGGACTGCTTTCAGACTTTCATTCCAATGTCAAAAACAATGGGCAAGAACATTAGACAGATGCACAAAGCATGACGATTGTTTAAGAAATATCATACATAATTTTTTGAAGGAATAAAGTTAAGTAACTGTCTTCAGGGTTTACAGGGAAAGAAATTAATGTTTTCTACAGAAGGTTAGCTCCTTCTTGAGCTAAAGGCAAGTGAGGATAGTGTACTTTACACTGTTCTTTGAACCACAACATACTAGGTCTTTCATGATGCAGCAGCAAGCCAGGAGTATGCTAACCTGACAGACCTGAAGGTGATACCACCGAAAAACCTATCATTATGTCTCTGGTACCAGTCTTTCTAGGCATACTGAAGTCTGCCAAACACTCTGGTTGAATCCAAATCTCCTTACAGGAAGAGGAGGAAAACCTCACACACTAGCAAATGCGGGAAGGTATCAAAAAATTTGTGAGCAAGTTCAACTACAAGGATCAAAACCTAGACTTTCCTCCTCAAAATCTGAACCTTTAAACATTATCTTTGACAATTAATACTTTATTAATGAAGATCCAAAAATTAATGATAATCCACTCAGGTATTAAAGCCTAGCCCTGCTTGAATCTTTAAACAAAGTCTGTCACCAGAGTGCTCCTGAACTACTAAGTCTCCTAAAATTTTGTTCTTTTTTCAATTAAACTGTGCACTACATTGGAGCCCAAACAAAACTAGTGTCAACTCATACCTATTAGTATTAATAAAGTGTAGTAATATCAAACTCCTCCCAAATGGAACTGTTTCTTAGAGTAAGTCATACAGAATATCTGAATACTGACCTTATTCACAGCTTCCACGAGCATTCTCATTTCCTTCTCAATGTCACTGACAAATTTTAAATCCTTCCTGCAAGAACAGCATTCTAGGTTAACAAGGCAAGAGAGCATACAAAGATACAAGATCTTAATTTTTTTCTAACATTATTTTTCAACAAGAACAAAATTATAGAACTCAATTGACTGAAGGAGAAGTTTCAATTACATTAAATAATGTTAGTGTGTCATCACTATTACAAAAACAATTATTTTTCCTTCAACCATTAGAACCCAGAATAAAATTCTATGACATGGCTCTACTGTCTGACAATACAATTTTACAATTTCAAATTGATAATGCAGATTTTTAAATTGCCAGTTCAGAGTTTTTAAATTACTTGTCATTAAGGCAATTCACTTCATTAGAATACAGGATGAGACACAGAAGTGGGGATGGGGTAAACAGAGTGGACTTTTCCAAGACAAAGGAAAGGTTCACTGACTTTGATCTCGCTTAGCATAACAAACTCGCTTAGCATAACAAACTAATAAGAACACAAAAAGCAGCAGAAGGCTACTTGCAGGGAATCAAATTGTTCCTGATGTAAGATATTTGTTAGGATTTGTTAGAACTAATTTTTTTGTACCTAGCTTCACCACAGTACTTCAAGTCTTTCATGCAAGGTTAAGTTTTGTGCTCTGTTCTTAAATAAGCAGGTTAGCTAACTCTAAAAGTAAGGTTGTTATTTGTTAGGGCACTATCCCCACGAGTAAAAAAAAATCTGAAGATTTCATATCTCAAAGCTGGTTAGTAGTAAATAATAATTCTTCAGAAAAACAGGCATTATTCCATACCAAAACAATACCACTCTGTGAATGATGTCAGAATTTAACCAGTCAAGAAGTGCCTACCAACGCAGGCACAACCATCTTAGGTAGATGCTCTACTGAAGTTTTGGATGCTGAAGTGAATGTATCATCGAAAGACCAAGAGGTCTCAAAGAAACATGCAAAATGACAACATTGAATAGCTCAGCTACCAATATCACTTGATCAGATACGATGGGACTCAGCCCATCAGTGGAAAACCTTCAAGGTTTTGAAACAGTACATAGACATAGCATGAGAACTCCTGGATCTTCAGTAGAGAGAAGTATTACACTGGGAGAACTGCAAAAAGGACCTGGACTTGTAGAGCTGAAAAGAAAGGAGCCTCCAAGCACCTAGGCTGTGAAATAGAGAGTCAGCTCATGTGGTATGAGGCTTTGAAAAGAATATTACAGCAGTAATCTCAAGTTAAAAAAAAACCTACCCAAAAAAAAAAACCTGACCCAACAACAACAAATAAAACAAACAAACAAACAAAAAAGCCCCACAAAACCAAAACAAACCCCTAAACAAACAGCAACAAAAACCTAAACAAAAAAACCAAACCAAACCAACAAAAAAACCAAACCAACCAAAACCACGGATACCTTCGGATCCAGGGGGTCAGAAAGCAAATACAACACTGAATGCCAGCCATAAACACTCAAATTTCAAGATGGAGTGATCATGGGAGGTAAGAAAAAAATGAAATCAACAATACAATAAGAGGGTTCACTAATATGTGATTTGTAATATTTAAAAGCCTACTAAGGAACCAGTTCACAAACTGAGGGATACATTCAAAAAAATAAGCCCTTTAGGAGTCTATAGAAATAAGAGTTATCAACTGAAGTCACCGAAGAAATCAGCAAGTTGAGAGTTCTTCCAGAAATACTTAGAATGTCTCTCAGCTTCATGAAATTCCAAGATAGTCAAGACTGAAGTACAACACATATGATCTGACAGTGCATATACTGAAATTCTGAAATGTGGGACATGAAAGTCTATTTTTCTGTGAAATGTCTATAGATTGTGTACATTACGCTTCTTCCCACCTTCCTGCATTGCATGTAAGCAGGAGCAAGCTACTGTCACTTCAGTTCTTCTCAAGGACACAACTTAGAAAGAATGCCCCTGACTGCTTGGTTTTTCACTGTATTTCTTGTTGCATATTTTTGCTTTCCCCAAACTTTGCTGCCTTTGCCAAAACCCTTCTTATTCTTGCAAGACTTGCCAGTCACTTTGCCTTTAAATGACTGACATCCCATGCTTGGAGTTTTCCAGTCATGCGCCTGAGAAGCTGCTCTCCCTGTCCCTTCCTTTAGGATGCAGTTCTCGTTTAAGAAAGCTGTCTCTAACCCTAAACCTGTACACTGCTCCTGTTACCAGATCACATGCAGGACTACTTGGCTCCTCCTTCATTGCCTGCAATGGCATGTGGAGGGTTAACTCTTGGAAAGACTGGTTAAGATGGCAGCTACTAAGGACCTATCTCCTTCTGTGTCTTTCTAGACTTAACCATTTGATCTTAGATTTTCATAATCCATACAGCTGCTATGGGGTCTTGCACAGCCAGTGACAAAATTAGAAAATTTTCTTCTGTGTAGCTCCAAGTGGCCAGATACTCCAGATGTTTTCCTTTCTTTCTCCGATAGTTTTAATTCATCAAATAGCAGCCTCAACATCATCCTTGTCCAACTGGACATTGATACTTGTGCCAGTCTCTCCTCCAACTTCACGTCAGTGGACCAACTTGAGCATTTTCTTGCTCTCTCTGTCTGTTTCTGGAGCTTCTTATAAAGGTCAGTGCTGAGGTGTCCAGCCAGTGGATCTGTACCCCCTGATCTGTGCTCAGTTGTGTCGGTACAGTCATCTCCATATTACAAGACGGATTCCTCCATGTAAAGCTATATGATGTAGAGACTTTTCTTTTGACTGCTTGTCAGATTCTGGCAACACATCAGTAAGATCAGCATGCAGCAGCATTACCATGCTATTGTTGCCTAAAATCAGCTCTTAAAAGAAACCTCTAAGACCAAATTTTTTAATTTTAGAAGTAGGCATTCTTTATTATGATGTGCTGCATGATCACAGCACACCAAGTGCCCTGGGAATCAGTTTGCCAGAGTGTACACAGGGGTGTCTTCACTACAGCTTATATGTCAACATTACATGATTATTCATTTTTCATTCCCTGCATTCCTGTTACATATTCATGACATTTCCCAACACTTACTAGGACATATACATATCCTTGTAAGGTGTCTGAGGGGCTTCAATGAGAGTCTCTAATGGTTGTCTGTGTCTGGAGCCTCCCAAAGTTCTAAGTTACTGCCTATAAACTTCTTTAAGACAATACACCTGGTTACAGAGTAACTTGGCTGGCTGCCTCAGTTCCCTTTTTCATTGTTTCTTTACTTTGCTTGGTTAGATCTTTTAAATCACGTGGCTCCGCTATATGTAGTTTGTATGGTACATTCCACTGCAAAAACTATTAGTTTTTGTTACATCTCAAAACTCAGATATCACTACTCATTGTGCCCCCTTCTCCTGTTACTGTCCTACAAAGGAGATGTTATTTTGACACACTTCCACTTATCTTCTTCCTGTTACCTGGAGTTCTACTGCATCTTGTGAGCTTTAGGGTTCTGTAATTAGAGATTACATTCAAAATCAGGAGTTTTCTCACAGCTTTCTCAAGTTTTCCTCATTTGTAGATGTACATTTCTTTCAGCTCTTGACAATGTATCAGCTTCACAGATCAATGAATTGTCTAAAGAAGGTAGTATCACAGCATTCTACCAATGATTTTGGTAGCTGTTGCCTTCTTGAGGCAGAGACCCTGAGTGTACAGGTAGGTAGCTGTTGTATTTCTCAATCATTCTGAGATCCCATATATGGGTGTGTCGCTTAGGCTCTGCAGAAAACAAGCCCTGAACTCTTGCATTATTGGAGTGACATGCTCAAGCAAGAATAAATTAATCTGTCAAAACTTATTCAGAATGCTGAGCCACCTGAAAAACATACTGTAACAGATACACTTTCTGGATCCTGCTTTATTGACAATTTAAACGAGTGGATTGAGTTCATCATTAGTAAACTTGCAGATGACACCAAGCTGGGGGGAAGTGTCAATCAGCTGGAAAGCAGAAGGGCTCTGCAGAGGAACCTGGGCGGACTGTAGAGTTGGGCTGATTCCAGTGGGATGAAGTTCAACAAGGCCAAGTGCCAGGTCCTGCACTTTGGCCACAACAAGCCGCTGCAGCAGCTACAGGCTGGGCACAGAGTGGCTGGAGAGCAGCCAGGTGGAAAGGGACCTGGGAGTTTGGATCGACAGGAAGCTGAACATGAGCCAGCAGTGTGCCCAGGTGGCCAAGAAGGCCAGTGGCATCCTGGCCTGGATCAGGAGCAGGGAAGTGATTCTTCCCCTCTGCTCAGCGCTGGTGAGGCCACAGCATGGAGTGCTGTGTGCAGTTCTCGGCTCCTCAGCTCAGGAAGGATATTGAGGTGCTGGAGCAGGTCCAGAGAAGAGCAACGAGGCTGGTGAAGGGACTTGAGCACAAGTCCTATGAGGAGACGCTGAGGGAGCTGGGGTTGTTTAGTCTGGAGAAGAGGAGGCTCAGGAGTGACCTCATCACTCTCTACAACTATCTGAAAGGAGATTGGAGCCAGGTGAGGGTCAGTCTCTTCTCCGAGGCAACTATCAGTAAGACAAGAGGGCATGGTCTTAAGCTGTGCCAGGGGAGGTTTAGGTTGGATATTAGGGAGAAATCCTTTACAGAGAGGGTAATCAGGCATTGGAATGGGCTGCCCAGGGAGGCAGTGGATTCACCTTAAGAAGAGACTGGATGTGGCACTTAGGGCCACAGTCTAGTAACTGTGGTGGTAGTGGATCAAGGGTTCGACTTGATGATCTCAGAGGTCCTTTCCAACCCATCTGATTCTATGATTCTATGATCTTTTACAAGACTGCTGAGATAATATCAAGAGCAGTCAAAGAAGTAAGTTCATAAAGCCATAGCTTTACAAACTGAAGACTTCTGCTCTTGTAAAGAGAGCTTTGTTAATACAGGAGAAACTCATTTTTCCTAAAGACTAGATAAAGGAAATCCAGTAATGCCATGTGCAAAGTAAGTGACTTGAGGACTTCCAAGATCTTTTACTTTAGCTGTGTGCTAAAGCTGTAAGAATAGCCTTGGTGTATTATTTACTGTGAATTACCAGTATAAAGTGGCTACAATGGAAATGTAAGTAAAATCACTGAAAGAATAAGAAGAGGAGTGTGGAATCATTAAAGGCTACTTCAAGACATCTGACCATTTGGAGTACAGTGTATGACCCTGGTCATCAGTCCTGTTCATGAATGACTGCACTATGAGTAGTGGTTGGCAGAAAGACAAAATAGAATCCTTACTCCAAAGAGACTACACACACAGTGCAAGATTTTCACTTTCTTGCAGTATTGAAAACGTGTGCTGTGTTTTTCTGGAAGAGGTAAAGTCTATTCACACTTAAGAGAACAGTCCTTATAAAATAGCACTTTTAAGTGCCAATACTAATATAACAGTAGCTCCACAATGAAAGCATTCAACTCCTATTTTGCGGTAGACTCATCAGTTGTAAGTAAAGGAAGAGGTAACTTAGGCCTAAATTCTGTATGGCTACTTATGTAAAATTTCCCCACTTAACACATCAGCAAACTTAATACAGGATTTTCAAGCAGAAAACATCCTTACAAAACCATGAAATTTACGCAGAATTAGGGTACTGAACCAAGAACAAAAGGTTAAGATGTTCTAAAAAACTTAGACCCAGTAAAAACTAATGTCATGCCTAAAAACACACACACAAGAGTAAAAACTACTTAAATGACACATCATTTAAGTATCTTTTTAAAGATGTGTCTGATCCATCCCTGTCACTCCAGATTGCACTGTATGTATTGGTGTAATGCTTTTGATATTAGCTTGATTTCATATTGCCTCGTTTTAAGATGTTTCAGTTTAGCATCACTCTTTGCAGTCACACTGCATCAAGTATTTTATTAATTCCATTTCTTTATTTTTAAAATATAAGAAGTAAGAAGAAATTAATGAGACCGGTGGAAAGAAATAATGTCAGGCTACAGGAGCGTATTTTATTACTTAGCCACCACTTTTGTCTTTGTTTTGAAAAGTTTATAAGGAGCACTGAGATCGAGGTTGGTTCTGTGTGAAAGTAGTAGAGATGTGAAAGTACAGGTACTGATTCATAGCGAGAACATTCAAAAATGATGTTCCCATTCTAAATCTGGTCCTGTTACAGAACAAAGCAACCTGTCAGGCACTTTTTACTTCTCACTTTCTCATTTTGGAGGTCTTGAGAAGTGCACATCACCTCCTTTGCTACAACTGCCATCTATTGCCAAGGTTGTTATTTTTACAAGGGTTAACAGAACTGTTCTGCATTTTCCATCTTGCTCTCAACACTGTTGAACTATGACACCTGCCATCATTAGAACACATACCTTGCATCTTCTTTTAAAATGTCACTGTACTTTGGTCCAGAAGAACGGATGTTAAAAGGATCAGAATTATCATCTATTTCAAGAGCTTCAGCAAGACGTCTAAATTTGAGGATAAAAGGAAAAAAACCCAAAATGTAACAAAAACATAAGCAAAAAAAAATAGACATATAAATCCCCCCAATCTTCCACTCGTTGCCATTGAAAAATAAAGTTACAGGTTACTAATATAAATAAACAGCTCTTGCAAAAGATATGGTCTGTACATTTCAAACTACTCGCTTAAAACTTTTCACTAGAATATTCTAGAAAGGTCTCAGATCATTTAATAAAGATCCCTAGAACACAGGAATCATCTCCACATTTATCTGTTCTCTAGATCATGCAGGAAAGGATTTTTCCTGCATAGCATAATCTTTGAGAACCTGGATTAATACTCAGGAAAAAACAAAAGCAAACAAGTTAATTGCCCACCTGTTCCTCTGAAGGGCTAAGCATTCTTCATCACATTGCAACCTAAATCATGAAAGAAAAATAGAATTAGAATCACAGCTGCTATTCGTACTTTTCAAACTGTAGCTTTTTTGGTGTCATATCATCATAGTCTAAAGAAGTAAGAAGAGTGTGTGAGAATAGTTTACTGTATTAGAACAGATAATAGAGCTAATAATAAATGAATAAGCAACAATTAAAGATTTTTGACTACACAACCCCTTTTTGCAGGTCTTGAAAAGGAAAAGCGATTACAAAGTCATACAAAAACTTAGAAAAAAAGTTCCTGAATTAGATGTTATTGATAAATTTTATCATTTGAGAAAAGAATGCAATTGGTATGAGCACTGATGGGATGCTAGGAAGGACTGAAAATCAGCAAAGGAAGAGGTCACAAGGTCACTTATTCCTATGAATCAGAAAAAATTATCAGCCAGGAAAAGGAGGAAAGTTAGATCTGCATATGGACAATTACGATGAACCATAAAAATCAGTATTTCAACTGAATCCCTAATGTCAGTAGAGTTATGAATTTCAGTTTTTTGTCTCATCTTTGAAAGGTACCTTATAATTTTATTTTGAGGGATTAAAATGTCAGAGAAGAATCAGGAGCTGCCCAGAATTTCAGTGGCAGTTACAAACTTCTTCCCCCTAGACTGTACAAGTTAATTAATTCTGTTGGTAATAGTTTCTTAAATTAAAAAACAAATAATAATTGCTACAGGGGAAATTGCTTCATTCAGTTTGGAAACACATAGCTCCAGGATCCAGAACTTGTGATGGTTTTCTTGAAGGGGACAGAAGAAAGCTAACATATTTGCCCTATAAGATCACCTTAGTACTGTTTAAAGTCATTTCCTTGAAGAATTATTTTCTTCTCTACTATAAGAGGAACGTGGGCAATTTAGAGAAGCTGTTCTAGGTCTGATCAAATTTGGCACAAGAAAAACCCCAAACCGTTATAAGAAAACTAAGGTATGAAAATCCCTGCACACTTTGCATAAAATATTCTGTTATTGTAAATGAGTGAAGCAGATTTGTAAGTTATTTTGAAAATACTGGAGTCTGACAATAAACTAGTGTTAACACTCTGGTCTCAGAACTGCAAGCTCATGGCTCAGCCAGGAGTTTTACTTTAAAAAATATATACAAGATTCTTTAATACCTTGAGATAGCGTCAAAAGAATAAGTCACAGACTTGTTCCCAAGAGGTACTTTTATTGATAATTTAGGGGAGAAAATAAGGGAACTTGGCAAAAGTTCAAAAGGGCACCACACAAGCTAGACAAAACATCCCACTACAACACTCATACTAATCCACAACACTTGAGTCAAAATCCAATCCCTCCAGCTTTAAGCTACCTAAAGCATCAAGAAAGGAGCAAAGAAAGAAAAGAAGAGGGAGAAAGAAGAAAGAAGGAGAAAGAGGGAGACACAGATTGTATAGTTACCATTGGAACCCTGTGGAAGACCAGCTCTCACATGTCCAGATGGCAGAGCCATATGCCTCTGCTTTTATCTGCTCTGGTCCCTATGGCCACACACCCACCCCCCTCCTTCCCTCCACCCCTCATGGGGTCTCTGACCCACTGGCCACTCTGGGGTTCCAGGCCATGGTGACAGGCAGTGATCTCACCCATCCCTGCCAATCTGAGGCTGGGTTAGGGGCTCTGGGAAGTGTGATGTGTTATAGTTTTCCCTGGCTGCTTGTGACTGACAGCTATCCTGGGGCTTCCCCATGTGGGCTCCAGGGGCCTGCCATGAGGGATATGATGCCACCTCACCTCTGTGAGGTTCCACCCATTCCTTCCCCCTCCACACAAACATACACATATCCCCAAGGTGGTTCCAATCCAAAAGTTACTAATCTAGTGTCCAACAACTAGAAATTTAAGACTAAATATTTTATGTACCACCATCACTTTTTCCCCTGCCCCAGAATTTGGTAGATGAAAGTGGAAGTGAAAATACTTCCTCTAACTGTGCTTAAATAAAAGCTACCTGCCACAGTTTAGATACCGTATTAGGGAAGATTTGTACAAAGAAAAGTCATCTCTGGTAATTTCAACTGTCGAAGGAAAGGGCAGTGTCTGTCCACACAGAAAGATGAGTGGCAATGACTACAACACAATTTATATTAGACATTGCAAAGGCTGGGACACCAACAGAGACATTACTTGCCCTAAGGTAAGTGTACAGCTGTTATACAGACTTGCAGCTTCACTAGTTGAAAGGTCACCCCTCTATTCTTCTACCATCCTGCACCCCCATTCTCTTTACCAAGTTTTAACACTGCCAAATGGTTGCTTTCTTTAAGCAGTGACTTTTTTGGGAGACAGAGAAGTTGCCTTCATATTGTTGAGTACATTTGTATCTGGTTGTCATTGTGATGCAAATAGAACGTCATTGAAATTTAGTCTATGTAAAGCAGAGATTATTCTACAGTAATTCTAGAGACAAAAATGAATGCTTACATTGCACATTTTTGAGTGTTCAATTAATTGAAACAAATAGGATACGCTAATAAAAACCCCACCATTTCTTACTGGTATCTTTCTTATATTATGCTTATACAGTACTACGATCATGTTCTTTAAAGTTGCATGCAGGAATTGGTACAGCTCTCCCTCTTTCGCCTGGTTTTCTCCTCTCACTTTCTTCTGAAGTATGACACTGTCCCAACTAGAACAAAGCTGAAGACTGGGATGAGCAGCTGCTCCCATGTATCATCTTGCTCATACATTCAGATTGATAATTATTTCAATGTAGAAAAAGATCTAAAAGGATGTGGTAATAATGTGCCTCAATTTCATAGACTAGCAAATAGAATAGAATGACTAGGAAAAGCTCTTGAAGTATGCTGTCATTAACTTTTGATTCAGGAAGTCATAAAGCAACTGCTGAGAAATGTCACTATTTTGACTTCACACAATAAAAAGGAACATTATATTTTAACACACAACAGACTGACTCAGAATAATCACATTCAATATTAAAAAGGAGACATGGTAATAGAAATAAACTAAATCCAAAGATTAAGGACTTCAATGGCAAGGCCTTCAGTAAGTCAAGTTTTTGACAGAAGGACGTTGGAGAAAGTTGACAATTTCATAACTAAATCATACTAAAAGTGAAAAGACAAGCTATTCCAATCCTGAGAGACATCAGGAGAAACAGAAAATCACCAAATTTAAGTCAGAAGTGTTTTTGTGACTTAAAACCAGATTTTCAGTGTCAGTCAGGATGAGAACACTGAAGCACCAATCAAATTGAAATACAAACATAAAAATATCTAAAAAGGATAACAGAAAAATATTATAAATACTAAGATGATGACTAGGAGAAAAATAACCCAAAAAGGAATGCTGGATGCTGAAACAGAAGATAACAGCAAAAAGTTGTACTGTGCAGAAATCTGGAAAAAAAAAATCCAGAGGAACTCCAAGGAATCGGCTGGGTAGAAAGAAAACTCTACACCACAGTTGTACTGTTCTATCCATAATTATAACAACCAATCAGACAGTTAGAGAACTCATTCTAGATGAAAGCAAAAACATGAATCACTAAGGAAATGCAAAACACTCTCTTAGTAGTATTGTTAAAGTGAGGGTCAGGCTATACAGGAAGTCTTCATATTACAGGTGGCATTTTTATCACCATATTATGCATTTTCCATGTCACCTATGCCTCAGGTGAAGAACAAGGGCTTCAGATATGTTTCTGCATGTATCTCCTTACCTGGCTTGCTTCATTTCTTTTTTCGTAATAAGCCTACTGATTTCCACGGAATCCCCAAGCTGTAGATCCGTTAGCTTAGTGGCTATAGATATAGCAGCTATTCTGAAAAAGAACGTTAGCATTAGTTTGTGGCAACACAAACCTCTGTAAAGGTGTATAAAGGTGCAGGTTTAACCTCCAGATGGAAGAAGTAAGGCAGACTAGCTGTTTTTTCATCAGATTACAGAATGCGACTCTTAGTTCCACATCACCTAGTTTTAGGAGTCTAATCTATCTATGTAAATTAATATGTTACTCTCATCTCCCTCCAGAACCAGAAGGAAGACTAACAAGTGGACATGCTTCTGAAGAAAATCTAAAATAGGCAAGATGAATACCCTTTCTCCACACTTGCTTAATATACAAACTACAGCTGACCATATAAACTACCCTTTTATGTGTTTCTTGCTAACTGTGCAACTAAAATCTTATAAAGTACTTAAAAATTTGCATAGAAAATATGGATGATACAATCCAAAGGGAAAGAGTAAAATGCCTACTGAGACTGTTACTATTTTCTTCATAAAGATTCTTCATCATTCTCTTCAATAACGTCTTCCCAGTCTCACTTGCTAAAATTTGTATAACCATAATATAGAGTAACTTTTTAGTGAAATATCCCATATAATTTTCAAACAAAATCCTAAAACCAGAATATTCTATCCTCTGAACTATCTTTTTGGTTAAATTCAGATAAAAGAATATGTTTGTCTCTATACGTTTTGCATCATATTCAGAGAACTAACCATCTATCAGGTTCTAGGTTAGAAATAGGAAGTAGGCTAATCATATTAAATAAACCCAAAATGCACTGAAACGCACCATCAGCTTCATATTGATCAGGTGGTGACAACATCTAGGTAATGGGACATTAGATGATATGACATCATCATTTGTACCATATGTACAGATATAGCAGCACACTCCCTTTCCTGTTTCCTTGGACATTTTTTCACCAGCAGTCACTGACTAAAGTCAAAGCTGTTTCATCCTCCCTCTAATGCTACTGAGAAACATACCCCACTTATTTGCTGACCTTTATTTTGTTGTTGGGTTATTTTTGTTTGTGTTTTTTGTTGTTTTGATCTGGTGGTAGGAAAAAAGGACAAACTTCCCTCCACAAAATGGTAATAAGTTAATCTTTTAGCAACCTGAACTGCTGGAGTTATCAAACTTAGCTGGCATTAAATGCTACTTCTGTTAATATCATCATAGAATCATAGAATTAACTGGGTTGGAAGAGACCTTCGAGATCATCAAGTCCAACCCTTGATCCAACCCCACTGTGATTATGAGATCATGGCACTCAGTGCCACATCCAGCCTTGTCTTAAAAACCTCCAGGGATGGAGAATCCACCACCTCTCTGGGCAGCCCATTCCAATGCCTGATCATCTCTCTGGAAAGAACTTCTTTCTAATATCCAACCTAAACCTCCCCTGGCACAGCTTAAGCCCATGCCCTCTTGTCCTGATAGAATCATGAGTCAAGAGTAATTTGTAAGCACATATGAGCACATCTGAACTAACAGAAACGCTTGCTTCAAACAGAACCTTTCTTTCCCCTCCTCTTGATCTGGGCTCTGATCAGAGAAATAAATACATGTGTGTTCAGCTTATGCATGCAATGACTCTCACTAGCTTCAAAGGAATATTTTCCTTGCATGAATACTTTTGCAGTGCCTGAGCAGCAGAGAAATAACAGCCTTCAAAAATCTGGACTTGTATGTTACCTTGCCAGCTTATCATTAGTGACAAGCATGTGTCAATTTAATCTGATATTTTAAAGTTGAGTCAGTCTTCTGATTTGTATTCATAGTGAGATAGATCTTAAAAATATAATTTTTAAAAATTTAAAAATCCTGTAAATGTATCTTGCATTCAACTCAATATTGCCTAAAATTGTTCTTAACTGTTTCTGATTAGCACATTTTTCTCCTTGTTTTCTTTAGATAATATTAAGCACAGTGCTGAGCTGCCTTCTGTCAGAATTTGAATATGACCAGTGTTGAGTAGAAACAAAGCAGCATGTCCTAAGTTGAGGTAAAAAAAGGCTCTCAGATAGCAGTTCCAAATAAAACAATCATTAAGAAGTTTTCCTTGAAAGACAAGAAGAATCTCTGTGCTTCTATCAGCGGGTATGCAGAGTAGAATTCTGACTGCATATTAATTTTTTACTCCTTTTCAATCACAGCCTCAGAATAAGATTTTTTAGCTTATTATTATTACTGGTTTGCTATATTAATTTCAAAAGTTCCAAAGTCCCACTTTTCTTCTTTTCCTTGTCCATTCATTGCCCTCTCTCATATGAGAGTGAAATAAGTTTAGAAATAGGATCTGGATACAAATCTATGGCAATAAATGGAGTTAGATAGGACTCAGTTTGCCTATTAAGAACCAAGATTTAGATGCCAAAGCTCTCCAGCCTAAATTTAGCTACTTCAGGATTACATCAAATCACTCTTAAGCATCCATCATCTCTATTGACTAGATTCCATCACACATGATTGCAAACTTAGACAGCAACTCACATGTAGACTGCAATCACCTACGAATGTAGAAGCCTGAATCTGGACCTGACAAATTAGTCTGTATCTAATTGCTCCACAAATGGAAGAGTCAAGCTTTGACACATCCCCATAGTTAGACTAATTAAACAATTAAAAAAAAAAAAAAGTGCTCTAGTACAGCATAGTTGGTATGAAAGTTCAGGGGAATAAAAAATTGAAAAACCCCAACTTGTATGTCAAAGTACAAAAAAGTGTGAAAAACGTTTGTGAATGAAATATACTTAGTCAAGCCTGAAATTTAATCAGACTGCAAAGTTTCAAGTCCAGTAAGGAATTAAAAGAATTATTACAGTACCAACCTTTGATACGTATTAGATGCTTCTGAACAAATCATACTCTCCTCTCTTCTTCCACATTCACACTGAAGATTAACCTGTTGTATCACACAAGAGAGTAGCTTTTTTTAAAAGTGTGTCTTTTTATTGCCATGGAGGGGTGTGAGGGAAGTCACTTTAAAAAATCCTATTTTAGTGGAATAATGGCTAACTAAGAGATTAATAGTTTCATTTAAAAAAAATCAATATTGTAAGTTTAGAGAAAAAATGTCATGCTATCAATATACAAACATGTCACAACTGTTACTGACTGTTAATCAAACCATACAAATCACCTGTGACTTTGCAATTAATTTTCTTTGTGTATCTAACCTTTGCACAGCATGAGGTTGTTGGGCAGGGTGATGAAGGATGACACGGAGCCATACAGGGATGATTACAATAAAGCCTTGGAATAATACACGGCTGTTTACATTCTTCATCTACAAGACATTCTCCTTTATGACAGATTCTTTTACATTTGTGCATCCCACATTTTAGCATTTGATTGCAGCGAAGTCCACAGGAAATGTCAGTGAGATGACAAGGAATATTACTTCGCAGCTGAAAGAGGGGAGGAAAAAGATGACAACTAACAGTAAAAATTACCAATGGAAATCTCAAAATGGTTTTACTGTTCATACTTCTATTTGGCACTGTCCACGCAAGAATCTCAGCACTAAAATATTTTAGGTCAAAGACTTGAGTTTTGCTTTATACCATAGTCCAATACAGCAGTTGGTCTGAATGCATATGGAATAAAAGACATACTTCTCCAATTTAATCACATTAAACTCAAACTCCAGTAACATATTCTATTCCAAAGAAGCCACAAAAATAGAAGCCTACAGTCCTAGAAAATTATTTAGTATTCAAAAACATTAATTGTCCATAACTTACTTCATGCTTGCCCATACACCATTTCTGAGTGAGATAAGTACAGGGTGGACACTTCTCCTCACTATGACATGAATGGTACACTGCAGCCACAGAGATATGAAAGCCATAACAGTTTTATTAGCATACTTCAGTTGAATGCCTTAAAGGAGACAGTTAAGACTATTAAACAAGAGTTTGCATTTCAAAATAACACAATTTATGGTAAAGATGATGCTTCATTGAAGAATAATGAGTTCTTTAAAAATTATGATAGCAAGTGTTTAGGTGAATACTCTTCTATATTTTCTAAATTAAATAGCAGATAATTTTCTAACTTTTGAGTAGGGTTATACTATCAACCATAATTTGACAGAAAGCATATCTGTTTGACCTGTGCTATTTACTTTGCCATCAACCAATGTAATTCCAAAGAACACAGAAATTAACTGTTCACTAAATTATTCTACTACTTCAACAGACCACTTGATCTTTGGAATGTAGCATTTAACATGTTGTGACTACTAATAAGGATCAGAAAAAATGACAATGCTTTTACCACTGAGAAGTACCACTAGTAGTATTCATTGAAAGTTTTCAGCTGGTTAGCTTTTAAGGAAAGATTTTTGGAAATACAGTTTCAAACAGACTTATGTACACTTTTCTACGTTTTGATTAAAAGAAACCCAAGTACAAAACAAACAAAAAAAAAACCCACAAGCAAAACTAAATGGCCTGACTTACCTGGATGATCACAGTCATGTGGCCTGGTACATGTTTTTTTACACTCTGGTGGCTGAGTGCCACAGGGGACAGGGGGGTAAATCACAGATTCACCACAATAACAAGTTAACTCATCAAAACCTGAAAAAAAAGTCAAATACATCTTAATGGCTACATGCATTTGCATGTCTTGTCCATGACAAATCTTTACATACCATGCAGATGTTTTACTTTATCTTCGGGGTTTTTTTATATTAAGCACTAGTATTTGATATTAGTGAATTTATTAGTTTTTCTGGCTCACACAAGAAAACTAGACTTTAATGATTTTGTTAGGAATCATGCTTGTCATGTGCTCCCATGGTTTGCAGCCAAGTTTCCAGTTGATGGCACTCAGAGCTCACACACTGAACAGAGAATGAGATTATACTAAAAGATATTAAACATTAACTATGACGGGATAGACACGAAGTGCACAGATCTCTGTCAGATAAGTACACTGACCAGCTGCTTCATTTGTTCATTTTATTTTGTCTTCACTCCATTTTCCCATGCATCAGCCTTGATTCCTCCCAAATAATTGAACAAAATAAATTTTTCCCTATTGTAGTGGTTTGACCCTGGCTGAATGCCAGGCTCCCACCAAAGCCGCTCTATCATTCCCCTTCACAAGCAGACAGAACAGAGAGAATATAACAAAAGGTTCATGACTTAAGGGCTGGGAGAGGTCATTCACTGAATATTGTCACAGGGAAAACAGACTTAATTTGGGGATATTAACTGAATTTGTTACTAACAAAATCACAACAGGATAATGAGAGGTAAAATAAATCTTAAAAACATCTTCCTCCACCTCTCCCTCCTTCCTGAGCTCTACCTCCTCCCCTCCAGCAGCACAGGGAGACAAGGGAATGAGGGTTACAGTCAGTTCATCACACATTGTTCCTGCCATTGCTCAGGGAGAAAGTCCTTCCCCTGCTCTAGTGTGGGGTCCCTCCCACAGGAGACGGTTCTCCACGAATTTCTCCAACACAGCTCCATCCCACAGGCAACAGTTCTCCACAAACTGCTCCACTGCGGGTCACTTTTCCATTGGATGCAATCCTTCAGGCAAAGCCTGCTCCAGTGTGGGTTCCCCACAGGGTCTTAAGTCCTACCAGGAAACCTACTCTAGTGAGTACACAGATCTCTGTCAGGAGTCTGCTCCAGCACTGGTTTCCCATGGGTTCACAGTCTCTTTTGGGCAGCCACCAGCTCTACATGGGGCTACTCCATGGGCTGCAGGTGGATCTCTGTATCCCCACTGACCTCCATGGGCTGCATGGGGACAGCTTGTTTCACCATAGTTTTCACCACGGGTTGCAGAGAAATCTGCCTGGAGCACCTGCTGTCCCTCCTTCTGCAGTGACCTTGGTGTCTGCAGAGTCGCTCCTCTCACATATTCTCAACTCTTCTCTTCTCTGGCCACAACTACACCTGGACAATACCTTTTCTTTCTTAAGACAGAGGCATTACTACCATTCCCGATTGACTCAGCCTTGGCCAGCGGGGAATCCGTCTTGGAGCCAGGTGGTATTGGCTCTGGCAGACATGGGGGAAGCTTCTAGCAGCTTCTCACAGACACCACTCCTGTGGGCTCCTGCTAACAAAATCTTGCCATGGAAAACCGATATATCCATTGACCCCAGTTTAGCTACATCTGCACCCAAATCTGCTATTTCTGCTATCATTAGCTAGGTCATACCAGCATGACACAACAAGCAAAGTTCTGTTGGCCTTGGAAAATTCCACTCCCAAAAATGTTCCAAATAACTCTCCTCCTCCAATTACTTGTGAAGCTCAGCCATCTTTCACTCTTATGGGTGAGGAATAGATGTGAAATCCATCCATTCCTCAAGGAAGCATCTGAAACTTTTTTCAGCTTTTCACCTTGTTTTTTGTTATGTTCAGAAATTGCTCATGTCCAGTTATTTTTTACAGTCTGTTCCATCAGCTAAACCTCAGGCGAGGCCCTACTCATTTGCCCACGTGTCTTGGAATACAGCTGTTAGTAGAAAGAATTGCAATTCTTCTCTAAGGAGACTCAATTACAATAAATTCTGGCAAGTAAGAATGCCAGGGAGAACAAAATGTTATGAGTTAGAAGAAAGAAGTAGAGAAGATTCAGAACGTCCATTTCTGTGGAAAGGAAGCTCGGGAAAGAGCTGTCCCTCACTACAGGTCTTGAAACAACCTATAATACTCTAGACTTCAAAGCCACAAATCTTCCCTAGTCCAGGAAGATGAAAGACCAGAGACCAAGGTCCCTGGAAGATCTGAATGTTAGACAGCTACACTGGCTGCTTGTTATTGATTAGAAGTGACAGGCAAAAAAATCTTAACTATAGTGAAAGTCTGTAACAGGGTGAGTTCGAAGGATGCTGAGATTGACAGCCAAGACGCTGCTGAGAGCTCAACAATAAACCCAATATTTATTACAAAGGTGGCCAAGTAAACGGGAACCCAAAAGACAGGGCAAGTGGCTTGCAGCTGATCATGTCACACAGCATTTGATACCATGGCTGATGTAGCCCAACTGCAAAGTCGTGATTCAAGAGGTGAGTCAGAGTCAAGAATGGCCTCCTTAGTGCTCAGAACTCCAGGGTCACTATCATATAGAAACATACAATGTACACCTCTGAAATCTCGACTAGCAGCATTCAGGGAAAGCAGGTAAGAAACCTTTAAAGATACTGGTTAGCTGATTTACCTCTGGATAGATTCAGAATAGGAACCTTCAGGGACATAGAGGTTTAAGCCAAATCACCATAATTATCTGGTTCCTGGAGTAGGTAACTGCTTTTCCAGTATTGAGAAAAGGGCCACAGGGCCTTGCTGCAAAATTTCAGCAGGGAAGATTGACCTCTAGATTGCATCACATCCAACAGTGGAGCAATTTACACAGGAGGCCATCCTTAGCTCTCTCCAGGTTATGACAGGCATATGAATCTTTGGTCTGAGAGTGAACTACAATCCTCAAAAATATTGCAGCAATGTGGAGAAGTTTAGTGATCTTAAACATTAAACCCAAGGAATCCACTGAAGAAAAACAACTTTTCAGAAGAAACTGCATTCTGACTTAACTAGACCAGAAGTTACTAACAGGACCTCTGAGACATTAAGATTACTGTTTTGCTTTGTCAAGAGAAATGGACACAGAAATATTTATATTTCTAAAGAGAGTACAGTCAACATGCTTCATATTCATAGGCTATTAAGACAGACTACAATGCTATTTCAAGGACAGTGAGCTTCAGAGGTTCTAGTACCTTCACTTTTCCAGAATATTTCCATGAAAAATTGGTCTCCACAAAACTGGAGGTCTTCGACTACATCCACATGCGTATAATATAGCAGAGACTCATGTACTACTGCAGCTCAGGCACTTCCAGTTGTAAACAGTATCCTTATAATCTACATCACCTGTCTCTCTCCCTTTTCACCAACGTGAAATGGATCAAATTCTTTATCTGACCAATTAAATTAGTATCTTTCTATAATAAATAAGAAATAATGTACTTTTGCACATAACTCACTTGTTTGCCAGCATGATTGACAACTGCCCCGATGACAGGGTTCTTCACATCTATGAAGCCCACAGTTGAGTTTACGACCACAAACCAAGGAGCACTTATGTTCTGTGTCCTAGGAAAAGGGAAAAAAAAAAAAATCAAAACCAAAACAGAATTGAACTATAAATGCCACTGGTTTATTTTTTTCTCTCGGTGGTCAGTAACTAGTAACTGACAAAACAGTATAGTGCAAAAAATAGCTTAGGCCAGATCTATACAGTTTTTCCATCACTGAATGGATATACAATTTCTAAAGCACATTCTGTTAAGACTTCTATTAAGTAATATCCCTCCCCTCTACATTCTCCCTGGAATCACTGCACTGATGAAAAGCCCCTTTGCACGGATTTAGCTGGAACATGGCTTTATATTTATAATGATACCCATAAAACAAATCTTGCAAAATAAATGCACACACACAAACTTTTTGAGCATGACCAATACTGCAAATAAAGAATGAAGATGCACAAAAATTTAAGGATACAAAAGAAAAAAAGACTGTTAAAATCACAACCAAAACCAAATATACACCATATCAAACTATTTTATAAAACCACATGTAAACTTACCACACAGCAAACTTCATTACACTTGTGTCGTCCACATGATCTTTTCTTGTTGCATCGCTTGTCACACATGAATGTAATTGCAGCTATTAAAAACAAAAAAAGCCCCTAAGAAGTCTTAACTTTCATGTCATTGCTTATGCTGAGAACAAAAGCTGCAATCACAATATTATGCTAAGGCTGTTTCAGGGCATGGTCTAGAAAAGACTTAACACAGAGTAAGCCAGCAAGCAAACTTCTAAATTACTTGTTCTCCCACATTAATTCCCCATGTGGATACTTGTCTTCCTTTAAATAAACCCTTATTCAAAAGGATTTTGGAGAGCAGAATACCTGAAGCTATTTATTTCACATTAATCTTCACACCATAAACTAAACAGGATATTCTGTTACACTGAAGTCCTACAAACATCCAAGACTGATTAAACTGGTAGGGCAGTAACAGTCAGTTAAAAACAACTATGCTGATATCCTCATGAAACTAGTGCTAACAAAGAGCATCCTTATTACCATACACAAGTAACAAAAGCAATCACTTCTGGATTCCACAAGAGCAAAGACATAGACAAAAGCTCAAATTAGGAAATATGCATATTAGGTCCTTATATCTTGTAAATAAGTACCTCAGTATGACAGGGGTCCATCAAGTAAAGATTTCACTGAGGGGAATTCTGAGATGCTACATACAGAATACTAAGAAGCATCAAACAGGAACTATCTGCCAAGCTCAGATGCAAAGACCAGCTGCAAAAACCAGCAGCATACCATGTGAAACAGAATCAAAGCTTGTACTTCCCCAGAAACTTGGGCAAGAGCAGAGCAAAACTATTACTTTGAATCTGAGCTGTGCAAGTTGATCCAAAGATACACAGGATGATGGGAGAGGGCAACCTATTGAATATAGTGCCATACAAAACTGTTGTTTAGACAGATTTGTCTGAGACCAAACGTGAAGAAGTCTTTCCTGATGTAAAAGATGGATAAAAATTAAAGATGTTAATTTCAAACCTCTTCCCCAAAATAGCAGCATGACCAACACCATGACCAAGTAGCAGCAATGACCAACTTGACACAGTAGTACAGATAAAAGAAGTACTGATCAGCTCTTTGCCAACTTTGTCAATCAAATACCAAACTACTGTGAGCTGTGTATAATTTTTAAAACAATTTCACATTGTCATGGGTTTGCTGACCAGCCGCCTGGGGGCTGAAAATAGTTTTTTCCAGGTGGATTTCCAGAGCAAAGGCAATCAAGAGTTTTAGTTATGCCTCTGTCAATCACATATTTAAGAAAACGGAAGAGAAGCTGTGTAGCACAGAAATTAGGAGTCATGTAGGGGGAGGTGGCAGGTCCAAAGTGTGGGCCAGGCCTCCCTCCTTCCCCTGGCCCTGGGCCAGGGGTAGGTGTGGCACTGAAGCCCCCCTGACATGTAACTGAGTGGAGAAAAAACTCTAGAAGAAAACTGTTTGGACGAGAAAAAACTGCTGCAGAAGGAATTCCAGGCAAGAGAGATAGCGCAGCCTCCAAGGTCAAAGCTGGCAGCTGGAGGAGAGAGAAGAGAAGCCCGAAGGGGGGTCTCCTTCTCTCCCCTCCTCTCTCCCTTCAGCAGGGAAAAGACTGAAAACTAAAAACCGCTGCCGTCTGTGGAAGATTACTGAGTGCAGAGACCTCTCTCTGCAGCTCATGAAGGAGCCCATGCCAGAGCAGAGGAGTGCATGAAGAAGATGTGACCCTGTGGGAGGCCTAAGATGAAACAGTCTTGCTGAAGACCTGTGGCCCATTGGAGAAAGAGAGACCTATGCTGGAGCAAGTTGGCTCGGGCAGGATCTTGTGATCCCAATGAGGGATCCACGCTGGTGCAGCTGAATTTGTGACCCTAAGGGACAGCAGATGATGGAAAAACTGTTGCCCAAAGGTAGACTCATGCTAGAGAGGTCCATCAAGGACTGTCTCTTGTGAGGAGGGACCCCACAGTAAACGGGTGGACTCAAAAGCCATTATCCCCTGAAACTGCGGTGAAGATCCATGGTAGGCAAGTGTCTCCTTGCAGTCCATGGAGGACACCACAGGGCCCAGGTAACCCCCAGGCTCTGGTCTTAGCCCAGGAGGGGGGTAGGCCCAGCCCTGAGGTCGACATAGAAGAGAGAGAGAGAGAGTTCCAGCTGCGACGAATCGGAGCTGTCATCCTAGTGATAACAGAAGAGTGCTGCAAAATTATTTAGAAGACCTGTAGTTCTGGAAATGGAAAAAAGACTGCTTTTCCTCCTAAACTGATACAAGGGGGGAGGGATACTTCTGTAAATACATAGCACTTTTACCTAGTTAGAACTGCTGTATATATAGTTCTTTAGGTTTTATCTTGCTGGTAATAAATCCTAATATTATTCTCCCCACATCAAATCTCTTTTGTCTGCATAAACCTTCTCTCAACTTCTAGCAATTGTGAGGGGAGGGTAGAAAAAAATGGCCCAAAGTAAACCCACAACACACATTACATATGTATTATAACCTTGTACCTTTATTTCTGAGAAGAGCACATGGGACTTCCTAGGAAACAAAGAGGGAGCCATTAGGTTAGAACAGATGAAACACCTGAACCATACTTATCTAGAAAACTCTTGGTCACATGATAGAGACTCAGTTTTCAAGCATATAACACATCTGTATGCAAAAGTGAAACAAGACTAGGAAAAAATCCTCAAATATTTTAACATAATATTTTTTCCATAAAGAGTCAATACCAGTTAAATAAGAATTGTAGTTTTGTATTCTCCACTTAATTTGCTGTGAAGTGACAAAATCAGGTTTGTCCTAAGAAACCAGAAATTTGTATAACGGAAACCAATAGAGATCTCCTAGAGAATACCTGACAGCCCAACTGTCCCAAAAATGAGATGAGTAAAAAGAGAAAGAAAGAAAGAAAGAGTAAAGTCAAATCTTATGCTCTAAGAAGTTATACCTGAAGATCTCAACATAAAAATAAAATGTAACGGATGAAAATAACATAGTTGACATTTGAACCTTCAGTCATCACAATTTTATATTCTGGTTGTCATTTCTGAGTATCACATTTTTCATGACTGATTTAAATTATCACTGTAGTTCACTCTTACCTTTTCAAGAAGTATCTTTCTGGTGTCCGAGAAGCTGCATAAACTAAAACCAAAACCTCACTACTTTATTTCAGGACTCAAAATACAATCTGAAGCCTTCTACCCCATAACTACCTTCAGCAAACTCACAGGAGAAAGTTGTTCCAACCTCTAGCAAACTCTCAGTCATTTCTATGTACCTTTAGACTTATATATTTAGAATGATATATTGCAGATGATATATAATGGTTCAAAAAAGTAATCAGAACTCCTGTCATTGTAGCAAAAATTTTAAAGCTATGATTACAAAAAGTATTATACTTCAAAAAGATACTAATTATTATATAACAATAGCTGAGAATAGCAGAGTCATTGTATAAATATACAAATTATAGGAATCAGTAAAAACTTCAAATTCTTTACAAAAATTTCTACAAGAAATTTATAAGATATTACTATAAAGTTTTAATTAGGCTGCCTTCTCTCAGTTTACTTTACTCTTGGTAAAACTACCATTCTTTCTGCTATATAAATACTCCAGGATAATATAGGATTTTGCGGACCACTTACATTAGTAGAACTGTGTGCAAACTCTGCCAAAATACTTCAAAAATTGCCTCCATAGTAAATAGCCTATATCCAACTTCACTGTATAATCTAGTTAGCATGTATCAGTCAGTATATAACACAGGTTCTTGCAACTAAGGAGCACAGCACCTCTTATGCTTCTTAGCTTTCTTCTCCTCAACTACTTCAGTTCCTTTCTCTCCACAGCTTTGAAAACTAACAAAGATTACCTGTTTCCATGGTCAAACTTTATACACTCACCTTTTTTTTGAAGCCACACCTACAATAAATATTTGATGTGTGAGAACATGGTCTACAGTCTCCTTCGTGGCAAAGGCTTTCACATGTATGAACGAACTCTAGCAAAATGAAAATACAAATATTAAAAATAAAAAAATAAAATCTATGACCTGGAACTTCATATTTATCAGGAGCATCATTGGTCAAAGACACTAAGCTTATGTGCAGCTGGGGTTTATTTCCTGATTTTAAAGGATCATTATGAATAAACAGCCAGACTGCAGACTCTGCAATGGTTTTTAAATTCAGTTTGGTTAAAACTCAAAAGCACTAATCAAATAATTATTTATTGAAATAAAGCACTTAAGGACCACTTTTTTTTTGTTTTGTTTTAAACTATGAGATACTTTGAATACTCTGATACAAAAATTTCTAATTACCATAGCTACCACAAGAAAGAGGTTTGCCACATGTTTTTCCACATGACGGGATAGGATCTGTGCATATTTTACGTTCAACACATCCTAGTTCCAGTAACTTGCTGAGAGGAGTCTGACCACAGGGACAGCGATACACTACTTGTGGAAGTCGTGGACAAAGCTGGCAAGGCTGAGGATGGCATACTTGCTTACAGTTGTGCCTCCCACAATTTAATTTCCTGGTTAAAAAAAACAAAATCAAAGAAACAAAAAACAAAACAAGCAAAAACTTAAAAGGGGAATTATCTAGGAGTATCATGATCACTCAAGTGTGAATAAGATGACCTTTTTCTTTTCAAAAGCCTGAATTATAGTGACCTTACTTGCCACATATATTCTGACATGAGAAACTCCCAAATCCATCAGAGAATTCTTCCTTTGACCCACACAATACTTCTTTAAAGTTGCTTCCACAGTAACACACTGAAAGAAAGAGGTATTTCACAGTAAACAACACAAGAGAATATCAGTGATTAAACACCTCCAGCATATATAAAAAGTGAAAAATTGTTACAGTCAGGTTTTATTTCAGCAACAGAGGTTTTCTGTACTGCAGAAGTTGGAATTCCAGCATTAGTTGTTTTGATAAGGAGATAAAAACTAAAGGGGAGGTATTATCTGCACAAAAAGCTTACTTGTTAAGCAGTCTACACAGGAAGTTAATTATTACCTTAAAAGTTGAGAAAACTAACTTGCGATTTTCTATGTTCTATGAAAATGTATTTGTATACTGGCATACATACTTACTCACTTCAATTTCCATTCAAAACCAAGTTTGGAAAATTTCAACAGAAATCATCAGAGGCTTGTTGAAATACCTCTATTTTTCTTCCACATACTGTTTAATTAGGTCTTGTAATTATAGTAAAAGATTCAGTAGGGCCTTAGGACGATTCAGATAAGAAGGTATCATTAGTCCAAGCCCTTACTTAAAGCTGAGTCAGCAATGAGATCAGACCATGTTACTCAGTGTTTTATTCGGCTGGGACTCGAAAACCCCCAAGAAAAGAGTTTTTCCTTACAGCTAGCTGTAACTTTTCAATTTACACTCATTGTCTCTCATCCTTCACACATGTATAGCCTCTCTCTGTCTTCTTAATTACTGAAAGGCCACTATTCAGCTGTCTCAAGCTAACAAAGTCCAGTATCACCAGCCTGTCCTAATAAGGTACGTGCTCCAACAGCCTAATCATCGTGGCAGGATTCCAACAACAGATTTTGGTTTTGTTAAATAAAAACTGGTACTTGCCTCTTGGTACTGTGTTGGTTTGGGTTTTTTTACCCTCTTGTTTTCATAGCATAGGATGGATATACGTAATCAATTTCAATACTTACCTTGTTGTACCGTTAACTGGCAAGGTGAACATTTTCCTGCATGGCACACTTGAGTACAGCTGTGCTTACCACAGTTTAAAGTATTTCCACATACATTAGAACAACGAATTTTTGTTGACTGGCCACAGCGAACTGAATGACTGCAGAGAAATGACACCATAGTCTGTCAGCTACCTTAACATCTACACAGTGTTTGATAAAAAGGAAAATGCATTTTCAGTAAAATGACAAAGTCTTTTTATTCACGACATATTTCAGGAAATAATACCGCTTTCTTTTTTACCTGCTTCCCCTCTCCCACCCCGCTAAAGTAGAACACGTATCACAGTAGTGAGTCTACGGATTTTTTCCTGAAGAAAACAGGGGGGAAAAAAACAAAGGTGACACTAAAACCTGAACCTTGTGTATGGTTATGCATTGTGCCAGAAAAGCAGGTATTTCTAATACAGACATCCTTCCAAAGACTTAAACAATCCTAAGTCCACAATGAAGATAGGAATGTGGGCCTTAACAGTGAGTCAGTCGTCTATGAAAAGAATTGAGTATTTAATTAAATTGTCAAAAAATGGGACAAAACGATAAATTCTCCCCATTTTCAACTCTGGTTGGCCCATACAATGCCTATAAAACGGAAATTTAAAACAGTAACCTCACAACATTCTAAAGTAAGCGGTGCCACGCCATACACCTTGGATGCTAATACGAGACATGTGAAATAATGCTATTTTGAAGCAAGTTTTAAGTATCAAATGTAGGTTTATAAAAATCAGCAATCTGGTGAAGTAGCTGACATCTAAAAAAATAATAAAACAAAGTTCATTGCACCTATTAAACTTTTAAATGCCAGAAATAGCCAGAAAAAGAAAACCCAACCAACCAACCAAGGAAAAAAAAACAATTAAAAAAACAAACAAACAAACAAAAAACCATAAAAAATCAACCAACCAAAAACAATAGAAAAAGGAAGTGATCTTACTAAGTAAAATATAATTCAGTAATCTACAACCAATCCATTTTTCTACTGAAGACAAAGTCCTTTCAACTACAAATAATGCCACAGAAATTGCTGTACCACCTTCTAAAAAATTAAGATCATGTGCTAACACTGAAACTGGTTTTTGTTTGCTTTGGTTATGTAAACAAGCACAGGTAAACAATTTATTACACAGAATCAGTTCTAGGTAGCTAAAAAAAGGATTCTAAAGACTCAGACCAACTGATCATGAGATAGTATGGGCAGTACCATCTTGCTGTTGACAATGACACTACAGGCATCAAACATGCAAGGAAATTATAGCCTTCAAGTCTGGACAGACTTATCTGTACAATTTCTGAGAAAAGCACGCATTATTTTTGAAATTATTATTTCTGGAATGAAGTAATTCAAGACAGTATTCCATTCAGATAGAAAAGATGTGAACCTTTTTCTACAAATTTCTTGGAGTCTTCTACCAAATTAAATAAATACTAGTACAAGATTTCAAAATCAAATCAACTCACAGACTGCTTGGACAATTCAGCTACATGTATCATAAATGGATGAGTTTTGTTATTTTGATTTTTTTCTTGAAACATTAAAAATAGTTGCATTTTTTTCAAAATATAAAATTCTCCAAATTATTTTAACCGCAAATAAAAGTTACAGCTCAGAATAAACTTTGTTCAGTATATTGAACAATAAACTACAAGAAAGGAAAAAAATTAATTTAAAATTTTAATAAACTGTTCTTTTATTTTTATAATAACTAAACTTTTTTTTGTTTAGTAGAAGCATTCTTACCTTGTTTGTCCACATTCACATGATTTTGTCACAAAGGCTGGGCATGAAGGGCATGGTCCCGGATGACAAAGACTTTTTAAAAGTTAAAAAAGCAAAGTTAACTTTAGCTTTATTACACTCCCAGAGAAACAATCCACCATGACCCAACCCTCAGTACATTATCAGAACATTAAACAAGACTCCTACACTCCTGAAGAGTATGAAAGCATTATTAACACATTGAAAAGATTATTACAGTTGTAGTCTCAAATGTCACCAATGCTAAAGGAAAACCAGTATTCCTGCTGCTGTCAAATCAACAGTAACACATTTCTGCTACTAACACATTTCATATTTTACATTTCACCTTCAGACACATATCAACTCAACTGTGTTCATCACTGATAACACCCAAAACAATCTTCACATGTCCAAACCATTAATACATTTCTTTCTTCATTGATCTTAAATAGGTCAGAGATAAAAACTTCTCAGTGAATTTCTTCTTTTGAGCTGGTGGCTTTATCTTTGAACCCAGCGTTTCTACTACCACCAGTAAGAGGTGTTGCTCCTCTTCCTGTAAAGTAACATGGCAGACACAGCAAGTCTGCCTCAGTTTTCTTTCTTACTATCAAGTGCAATTTCCTTTGAGTGTCATCAGTGCCAGTTCTTTACATGATTATCAGATCTCACCTTCTACTTCAAGAAACACTAGGTGTTCCCTATCTGCATGCAAGACCTTTGTTGGGTACAGACAAGCCCAGGTTTGTGAAATTATACTTAACTATCTTGTCTGCACCCTTTCTTAGCTAGCTCCCAGTTTCCTTCCTTTGCAAATACAGCAGCTCTCACATGGAGCAATTACTATTGGTCAGGACTCACCTGCACACACGTCCAAGCCAAAAGAAAAATAAAAAACTCAGAAAACCCCATAAACACAGACTACCCAGTTACAAGACAATTATTAAATTCCCCAAGTACAGTCACTACAAAAGTACTAATGAGTATACCAGTTACTATAGTCATGTGCTGTATAGTTGAGTCATTTTCACCAGCTCGTCAACAGTGGTCTGGATTCTCTTCTTCTTTTTACCACTCCTCCCAATTGACAATAAGGCCTAATCTATCACTCAGCTTAGGCTGGCCCTAAGAGTAGAGCCAAGCAATTACACTATAAACTAATTCAAAACAATAAAAAAAAATCCCATCACATAAAACATACTCCAAAAAAACCCAAAAGGCACCACAACCCTTCCCCTTTCGTAGGTCAGTTTTATGACACAATGCAGAGTTGAAAAAGTACAAGAGTACAAGGAAAGGGGGAAAAAGCAAATTGGATAAAGCAGACTAAACACGATACAGAGGGAAATAGGAAGAAGAAGAAACCAAAACCACCACTGAATTAATTAAAACTGTGTGCTGGTTTAGAAGTAAACCTGTGGGAAAAATGAACCCAACTCAAGAGAAATTACAAGTCAGAGTTACAATTTACTAAAAAAGATTACAGCACCAAAGATCTATGAAGGAAGTCCAGACACTAAAATTTAAATTAATATAGAGAAAATTTCATTTACTGCCTTTGTAACACCTTTTTCAAATGCTCTTAAAGCCTTGCAATGTTCCAGTTGGCAGAGAGAACTTTGAGAGTCTTGGAAGAAGTTTAAGTTTGTCATGAAGTTTATTATCAGGAACATTTTACTGAAGGTGAAGCTAGGTGTTTCTTTGATGTAGAACCTTACAGTGCAAAATGAATTTCAATGTATTAAATTAAAAATGTGAAGAGAACTCACTCTCTGAAGTGCTATGGATGCCACAGCTAAACGCTAAAAAAAAGGCTTGCAAAGCGCTCCCCTTTCAAACAGCTGCTTGCCTATTCCTCAGCTCTGCCAAGTCAGCTGTTTATATAAATGGTTACTATTTCAATAAACATGAGTAAATACTAAAGATTTATCATTAAACCAGTATAAATTACCTTCATTTATTTTCACCCAAAATGGGGCTAACTAGTGCCACACTTAGCACAATCATCCAATTAAACTCTACCCCATAGAAAGGAGATTAACACAATAACATCTACAGTAAAAAATAAACAAACAAAAACAATAAACAAACAAAAACCCAATCAGAAAACTCCCAAACAAACAAAAGAATAGCCAGATTGAGGAATACAGTTGGGAATTGGTCAATCATTAAAAAATCCATATGCAAGGTGTGGCAGGGAAAGCAAAGGCCTCAAACCCAAAATGTAAACAAATAACCAACATACCATTTCAGCAGAAAATAATTTGTTCTGATGGTATAAAGGGGATCAACATATAAATGCAGTTGGTTACAGGCAGCAGTAGGTTGAAGAATTGCTGTATCTGTCTAGGCTAATTGTTTTAATTTGAACACTGATGTCAGAAATTCCTTACAAGTGCAAGGGAGATGCCAAGTAATTTGAAAGCCTGTGATGATTTTGGCTTGGATGAAGTTAATTTTCTTCACAGTAGCTAGTATGGGGCTATGTTTTGGATTTGTACTGAAAACGGTGTTGTAAACGAAGAGATGTTTTCATTATTGCTGAGCAGTACTTACACAGCATCACAGCCTTTACTGCCTCTCACACCACCCCACCGAGGAGGCTGGGGGTGCACAAGAAGCTAGGAGCAGGCACAGACAGCTAACCTCAACTGGCCAAGGGAATATTCCACACTATATGGTGCCATGCTGAGCATATACGCCTGGGGCAAAAGAAGGAAGGGAAGATGTTCAGAAGGGTGTCATTTGTCTTCCCAAGTCACTGTTATGTGTGATAGAGCTCTGCTTTCCTGAAGATGGCTGAACACCTGCCTGTCCTTGGGAAGTGATAAATGAATTCCTTACTTTCCTCTGCTTGCATGCATAGCTTTGCTTTACTTGTTAAATTGTCTTTACCTCTACTCACAACTTTTTCCACTTTTACCCTTCTATTTCTCTCTCCCATCCCACATCAGGGAGAAAGCGAGCACCTGTGTGGGGGCTTGTTTGCTAGCTGAGGCTAAACCACCACAAAGCCATAAGCAGTAGGTTCACAAAACCTAAGGTAACATGGCTTTGATTCCAACTGAAAATATGTAGGATGTGTACAGCTCACTACATCATTTTAGACAGTGCTTGGAGACAAAGACCTCAAAAATGATGGTCTAACAGTGCAAAATTGAAAACTATGTCAAATTAGACCACACAACAAACACCACATTTCTTGCCTGAAAATGGCTGTCATCCTAATCTCTATCTTAACCAAGATATGAGGTTTAATATCCTTTCCAAAAGCATCTATGTGATGCTAAGAGCTCTAGACATTCTCATTACCCATATCACGATTAATTCTCTTTTTAATCTTGTTATTTGCATCAATTTCTTGCAGGAAGATGCCCTGCCTAGCAGAATGTATATGATACATTCTGAATTTGCCACCTTCTGATTTAATTGAAGGTCTCATTCCCTACTCAGGGAACACAGTGGGGCCTGGGAAGGGGCAGGGAGAGAAACTCCCTTATTTCCAGTGCTTTCTTGATAAAACTATTCACTTTAGAAAGTATCAAAGGATCCAAATTTTTTCCTGTGACTTTTAATCCAATTCTTTCTCCTCAGCCGCAAGAGTCCAATGATTACTAAGTTTTAAAGAGAAAACAGGTTTTCAAGTAATTTAATTCCCTGTGATCTACTTTATTTGCTACTTTGTATTACATTAAGAGTAATGTAATCACCTAAGCAGAACTTAGAAGAGCACAACTGACACCACCAAAAGATTACGGGACGAGCCACGTCACTCTCAGAGCTGCTCATTGTACAGGGGAAAACTTGTTCACAGGGCCTCACATACAGTATAACACAATGCACACAAGAAGGCAGACAGGAGGGAAGCTGAAGTTTAGACCACCACTGCTGGGGTGAGCGGCAAGGCCGCGGAGCCCCTGATGAAGGATGCAGGGGTGAAGGATTTTGACTTAAGACACTTTGGGGCTGAATTTCCCTGGGGAAAAGCAGGGACTGCGAAGGACTTGAAAAGGTGCCAGACCTGACCAGTAAGAAAGGAATGTAAATAAGAAGTGAACATCCAATTATACTGGAGGGCTGGTAATAAATTATAGATAAAAGAGCTAAGAATAGTAATGGTATGTAAGATTCTGGACAGAGTGTGAGTGCAGATGTGTGAGAACAAGAAGTAATGTACTGGATGAAGCAATAAAAGCTGAATGTCGGCCATCATCATAAAGGTGCCTAGTTTTTATTTCTTGGCCGTCCTCAACTTACTACAACACACCAGCAACTGTTACAACAGCTTGCTTTCAACACCTCCTGTACTCTGCACATTTCATCTGCATGGCAGAGAGAATAAATACAAGCATCATCATGCAAATCAGTGAGAACAATGTTCCTCTGATATCATGTATGAGGAGAAGATGTTTGTTTGATCATGGTTGCATCACATCAGATAGCTCAAGTATAGATACATAATGTGTGGTTTCTGAAAACTCAGACAATAATGCAATTCAAATTTTGTTACAGACACTGCATAAACAATTCTGACCTACAAGCATCTAAATCTCACATACTCTGACTGCTGATGCAATAGCTACAAAGATAACAAATAAAGCAAGTATCCTATGACTCAAATGCACGTTCTCCAAGACTCAGATTCAAGTCTCACCAATGAAAAGGATTCATAACAAGGATTCATCCAGATGAGGTCTTTCAGAGGCTAAAGTTCTGCACATACAGAGATCTGTTCAACTGGAAGACAATGGGTGGTGCTGGACTTATAAATGAGACACATACTTCAACTGCAAAGGGTTTCCCAGAATAGATGAAAAGAGCAACATCAAGACCACCATCACAAGATTCAGATCCAATAACAAAGGGACTCATCCCTACTATTAACTAAAGTCACATAGACTTAAGAGGCACGTGAACAGTCTTCCCAAAAGAATTTGTCATACTGTCAGACTGTGAGGTAAAAAGTCTTGATGCTGACATGAAACATAAGACCCAGAAGGGTCAGGGGCAGGCATGGTGGTGTGGTGTTGAAAAGCTAAAACAAAAACAGCTTTTAGGGTGAGCAGAATGGCAGTTCTGGTTCAAACCTTATTACCTTATGGGAACATGTGGGACCAGGGGAAAATGGCACACAGCAAGTCCACAATCCAAATAAATTACTGCTTGAAAGAAAAAGATCTGAGATCATCTGAACTCAAGCAAGAATCATGAAATACACTCCTGGTCCTGATGGCAACATCTATCCTTGAGCGTTCTCTTGAGGAAAAACTGCCCAGGTACAGATCGTGATCCAGACTTATCATTTGAATTCAAATGATAAATCTCTACATCTCTTAACTCCACCACTCTGATACAGCAAGAGGGAACCAAGTTTCTACCTGCTTTTTTATTCAGCAGATGGAGGCTCCTGTGTCCTCATAAATACCTAACATTCCCATATGCGGTGGAATGTCAAAAACTCGGTAACACTGATGCTGAAAGTGCAATCCTCTCCAGGTCACTCCCACAAGTCAGTATCAAAACTACCCATTATCTTGATCTGCACCCCTACTATTTCCTTACCTCCAGGACCAGATGATCTCAGCATAGTTTTACTCACATGGAACATGAGCTGAATGATAACATTTTAAAGTATGATACAACTGGTCACAAATTGGGACTCAATTTTCACAGCTTTCTGATATGACTGCTATGGACTAGGAATTCATAGTGCCCCCAATGGTACAATATTGACACCACTCTTCAAGACTTTCCAGAAGACAACGCCAGAGACTAAGCCTCTGCTGTTGACTAGGACAGAAAAGAAGAACATCTGCTTCTTCCAAGCACTACAAGAAAGTTTGTCAGGCAGTAAACTGCAGTCATGGCATTCTCAGAGTAGTTAAGAAGCCTGTTTATTTCTTACTGGACAAAATTTATCTCCGTGAACACACTCCTCTCCTGACATGGAGGCCTGGAGGTGGCCTCCAAGAGAATCAGTGTCCTGTTCAGGATATCAGCCACATAAAGTGTAGTGTGAAAGATGACCTGTGTTTCAGTTTTACCCTGCAAACCACAGCAAAGAGGATCTAGTATGATTACATGAATTAAGAAAACTGCTATAGCACTGAAATGAAATATAATACAAATATATGTGCATAAATACATAAGACATAAACACAAATGAAATCTAATACAGAAAAGAAATCTAATACAACATTTTCATGTATGGGAAAGAAGTATTAAAGACTAAAAAAGTATTCTGTCACCCAACAAAAGGTTGAAATGTATTTGAAACAGAACACATTAAATAAAAGTTCATACTAAAGTTCAACTAAATTTCTGAGCTTTAGCAACCCTTGGAAGAAGTGCCAGATGACCATCTATTTCTTGGAATGACTGAATTTCTTCACTGTGTACCAAGAGCAGAAAAAAATGTTTCCAACTATTAAAAATTTCTCAAAACAGAAATACGAACAGACATTATGGACCAACTTCCACACATGGAAATTTAGGCTGCATACATTAGGAACAACACATTTTTGTTTTTTTAACTAGCATGGGTATTTATAGATTGTAAAAGATCATCTTACGCTGTTAATCTTAACAAAACTACCAAACTGCTAAAAATTCTAAAGGAAAACATCCAAAACCGAAAACAGAGGTGCTCTCCTTTGCCTCTCTTCACTGAATTATACTAAAAAACGTTAGCAAAACCAAGTTGAGTTACATATACTGATTAAAATCTCCAGGAGGAATTCTGGTTAAACCATTTTGTATCTCAACAAATAAATACATATAATGCCCTTTTATCCTCAACAGTTTAAAAGCCCAAGAAAGGAAAAAAAACCAAAGCAAACAAGTGAGTGGTCCTTCAGTTTAACCAAGTTGCACTGAACTCAAATTAAGATACACAAACACTATTACATGAAAAGCAGCACCTAAAATATCTAGAGGACGACTGGACACATGTTTAAAATTACTTCTATTTACTGTTATTTCTCTTCTTCCATGAAAGTTCTTGAAACCAAGTCAGACAGCTAGTTCAGTTCCTAAAATATGATAGATATGGTGCTATAACTGTTCTGGACCTCCTGTTCACACTATCATATGAACTCACTTTAGACATACAAACACAAACAACCTCCATTCCTTTCAGGCTTCAGCTGATCTAAAAACCTCTTTAGGTTCTAAATATTCAAGCATATCCTGTAGCCAAAAAATACACAAATAAGTCTTCAGAAATTTTCTCTAAATCATTTCAATGTTCATATGATAAACATTTTACTTACATGTTACAAAGATGTGGACAGTCCAAACACTGTCTCTTCTTTCCACAAAGCTCCCCACAGCTATGTGGGATTTCATTTCTATTCCATTCAGGATTGTGCACCTTACCTAAACCACGTCAAAGACAAAAATATATTTATTGATTTGAATACAAGATTGATTTTTTAAAAAATTATCATACCAAAAAGAAAAAGCTATATTTTCAATACTGGCAGTAGTTTTCTTCAGGGGAAAAAATAAAAAAAAAAGAAAGAAATTCCCAGAAAATAAGATCTAGTTGGTATGGTGATGGGAAATAGGGAATTAAATAGGGGAATAGGGAATTAAATGAGTGGACAAATTATAAAAGACACTTCTCTAAAAAGGAGCAGGTTCTACATTAATCTAAATATTAAAGGTTGATGAAGTTTGATGAATGCAGCAGGAAGTTTTAAACAAGATGTATGTTAGCTTTGAGTTTTCTATTTTTAAGATAAGCACTAAAACACGTCCAAATTATGTATCATTAATGTAACACTATCCACAGAAGATTAAACACTTATATTACAACACTGTGCTCTGCAGACAATAATACGGCGGACAATTTAAAGTAGTTACAATTACTGTAGATCTCCTAAAACTATGACATGGTCTTTAAGCTCAGGCAGAATTTCTTCCCTATTTAACAGACAGATGACCTGTCTTAAAAAGTCTCATTTTCATTTGGTCAAAACATTCAGTCATGGTCAATTCATTCTAACAGAATTATTATCCCTATACTCATAAGATATTTAAAACCTCTGTCTTAGCTGCACTGCATTGTTCCTAACCAATTCACTGACACATTTAGATAAAAAGAACTATAGATAAAATTATTTCCTATTTCAGCTTCTTTAGGGCAAGTTTACTGACACCAAGTTCTGGTCTCAACTTCAGAACATTCTATTTTGTAGAAAGCGAGGTGAAACTTTCTCGTCACTCTAATCTATGAAGGGAAACCTATATGAAATCAACACAGATTTCAGAAATGTAAATGCCAAGCAAAACTTACCCACATGACTGCAATTAAGTTACATATTTCATTTCTCTTTTTTTGTCGTATATTTGTGGGCTGGTGAATGCTTTACTCATGTTATTTACCTTTCTTATTAAACATATATACACATAAAGATCTGAATATTTTTTCCTATTTAACCTGTATGCATTCCTGAACAACATAAATGACAAAATTGCTTAATCAATTTAAAGATTTAGGTGGTTTTATGTTTGGTGTATCTCACCCAAAAAAAAGACATAACACATGCAGATTATTTCATTCCTTCTACCAAAGGAAACTTTCACAATACTAGCCCAAATCTATCATCATTCCATAAAAATCACTATTTTTACATAATGATATGAAAGTATTTATCACTTCTTATTTAGTATTTCTTTCTTTATATTTTTCAGGCACCATATGTGCGGTTCTCTGTGCACCCACCTGCCAGTGCAATAATTTTTTTTGAAGTTAAATTTCAGACATGTATGCAAACAAGCACCAACACTGAAATTCATATTAAAAAACTAAATCAAAATGACAACACTGTTTTTCTTTACAAAAGCAAGCAAGAAACTCACCACAGAAACAAGTGTAAGTCTTAGGAACTTGCACAGAAGCATTCTGACAAGCTGGACATCTCCAACCACTATTGCCATCTGTAGATAAAAAAATAAAAGATAAAAAAACCTTGAAGGAGCTAACCTGCAAACCTAGAATAAGTACTTTTGCCTTGTTTCTTACCACAGGTGCAAACAAACTGTTTTCTTCCATTTACTCAGAAGTGCTGAGAAAGTAGGTTAATAAAAATGCATTTTATACAGTATCAACATCTATACAGCAGTGCTACTACGTTTGATCAGGCTTTGGTTTTTTATAGAAGCAAAACCAAATTTTAAAATTCCATTTTTTCTATTATCATACGTCCTCCTACAAGACATACTGCTAGAAGATAGATAGTCATCACATCTAAAGATGTAAGAAACAAAGTGTTAAAGAGAGGGAAACAGGTGAGAAAAATGTAATTCCCTAGCCTAAAGCATTTCCTTTTCTTTACCTTCTCATGAGTTTAAGTGTCAAGTTTAAGTAAAAGACCAACTTAGTGTTGCTTCATGTCCACAATAAATCAGTTTTATATAAACCAGAATAATCTACTTAGTTCATTTAAAGTTGCTAATACCTAGACATTGACTAGGATATTATTCTTCAAGCTGGTATTTTAAATAGTAGTTTTCTTGCTTCTGAGTTCCAGAAGGGTTCTGGTTAGCAGTAAAGGAAGAACTTCAGCATAAGGAAAGTGACATTAATAAAGATATTTCCCAAATTCAGTATAGATCTGGCTATGAATAATATGAATGTGAGAGCGCTACTGAACACAAAGGGGAGGAGAGAGAAGAGAGATATATGTTTTTATATCTATATATAGACATTAAAAAAATTAAAGAAACCGATTAGCACTTTTTGTTTCTCTTACCTAATCAATTCAATGCCGGTAAATTAATAAAGCTGTGATTTTAGAACTGTTCTTCACAATTAAGAAATCTGACCAAGATTCATGATACTTTCACATTACAAAAGCAGAAGGGATTGCACACAGGAAACTTCATCTGATAAGACAATTGCACTACAACGATGCACACACACACACTTAGGTTCTCTTAAATTGGGTCAAAGACTTCTTACATTAACCATCATAATGCACAACGGTAATCATTTTCACAAACTGAAAATGATCCAAATTATAGACTGCCTGGACACTCTAAAAATGCAAATCTAAAGCATACTTCATGCCTATTCTTACCACTCATTATCCTGACGCATATCACTGTGCTACCAAGATTGCTGCAGAGATCTGGACAATTAAGGGCTGAGCAGCTGTAGGACAGTGGCACAAGACATATATTCTAATATTCATGCTCAAGAGCAATCTGCATTTCCTGACCAAGATTTTTTTTCTTTTGATTGCTACAAAAAGAAGCATCTCAGAGAGTAGTGTTAAAAGCTACCAAAGTGTAAAAACCAACCAAAATATGTATCTGCTGACAAAACTGTCAGCACCTTATGTGGCTCCTCCTAAAGCTAGTGTACTAAGCCCTAAGGGATTATTATTTTGTACGGTGTACTTAACAACTCCATTAACAACAATTTCATTAACTGTTATTCCACACTATGTTTTTCAAAAGCTGTGAAGATAAGTCTACCCTGAAAGCTTCAGGAGACCAGGAGGCGGCCTCTCCTATCAACAACTGCCCCAGAACAGGATGTCTAGTCCTCTACAAGCAGCAGTTTCTCTAGAGTATAGTGAAGGTCCCCATAAAATAGGAACCTTTCACCAAGCAAAACAGCCTTTCAAGATATATTTGGTTCTTCTTCAACACTGATTATCCTTTGCTCCTCCAAGACATTAAGTACATTCATGCGGGTCCACCCACAAGGAATATATAAGGTTGTTTTCCTCCAAAATTAGAATGAATAAAAGTTTTCTTCAGGATTCAGATGCAACTACAGTAGTATAGAATGACACCTGACATCCACATTTGTAAGGAGCAGTCCTATAAACACTCCTTAACTTAAACTTTTGTTCCATCAGTGTAAGTGCACCACTGAAGCATCAGTTTTTTAAAGAAGTTGAAAAAGGAAGAGGGCAAGTGACAACAATTTCCCCTCTATAAAGTTCTTGTGTGCAGTGCAGATATTTTTGTCAGATTGACCTTATCTAAAGCGATATCTGACCTTATCCCATGGGATATCTGAAGGTCACATTCTTTCAAGATATAATTCAAAATGTTAGTAAGATGCTTGTTTCCTCATAGGAAAGAATCTTTCCAAATGAAGGTAAAGTGATGCTGAGTGCTGCTGACAATTTACACTGTAGAAATACTAAATGTTGATGTCAACCTGTTGAGGAATACATCTGGTTCAGTTGCAGATTGAAATCTGGGTGAGAGTCCAAGACAAGAGGCTACCAACTGCCAACAAAGGGCACGAAGATGGGTGACACCAGCCAGGTGAAGAGACACTGAGACACAACAGGAGCTGTGAACAGCCAACCTTTTAGATAACAAAGGGCACAGAGACCAGTGGCCTGAGCCAGGTGGATAGGCACTGGGAAAGATAGCAGGAGTGGAGAATTCAGGAGGAAGAGCAAGCCTTGTGCACTCTTGGACTCTGAGGGGATAAAAGTCCAGGAGTCTTTTGTTCGGGATCCCTCCAGGGAGGCACTGGGTTGAGTTTTCTGTATTACTGTACTACTGCACTGTGAATAAACTGCTTATGTAACTAGACTCTGCTATGGGAAACCTGGGGTCAAACCAATAAGTAAACCTGGTCTGACTGTGTGAGTGGAGCATGGAGGGAGTCAAGACGGGCACCTGTTGGTTCACTGCAGCCGCCCACTGTGAAGGGGCTTTGGTCCCAGCAGTTAAAGTGTCTTGTTTTGAGAGTGTGACTGCCAGAGAGAGTCTTGTAAACGCTCAAACTGTGAAGTTTCCTTAACACAAATCACAAGTCTAATGTTAGCAGACCAAGAAGAGAGCAATGCCCTGTGACTCCCCACAGATAATCAGGAGACTCTTCAACTTGGCCAAACCAGATGCCATTTTTCAGATGACTGTCAAGACGATAGAAGGCAAAAAAGTCTCAGAGGAAAGACATCTTCAGTACAAAAGAGGCCCTATGAGGAGATAACACTGTAGAGTGCAAGAAGACCGTTACGGTAACCTTGTTCTAGAATGAGTTTCTAGAATCTAGACATCTACAACTAAAAATAGTTCCTCACACTTCTTCCCATCCCAGTATGTTGACCCCCATGCAACTTTTACCTCATTGACACTGTGTAGCAGGATGCTCTGCCCAGGAATATCATCAAGTAACTCTAACAATTTGTGAGGCTATCAGCAGTGGGCTGAGAGGGGACTCAGATGCTGGTTTTGGTGTCGAATTATGCTAAAACCTGTTGGACACATCAACCCCAAACTAACACCTTGATAGTGAGGCAAAGATTTGGCAGATAAGCTGCTAAGCTGACCTGGAGACATGACTGGCAGTCAATCATTTTATAATGTAAAGTCCAGTTCCATGTTCATATGGTAGATTTCTTCTAACATACTCTTCTTGGAATATGTGTGGAGTTTTCTCCCTTGAAGTTGGGATACCTCTCAAGTATAGTCCTGGAGATTGAGTGAAAGAGATTTTTGCCCAGGACAACTGGTATAGGTAAGTTACATCAAATTGTTTCTGGGTTTTTTTGCTAGCTTTAATATTAATTGCTTTGATATAGTGCACTATATTTCACTATGCATTTCAGCTTTTATGCACTGTAGTACATAACTCTGATTAAGGTCCTTTGTCTAACCATTTGTCATAATAAACAATACATTTTATATAAATATATCCAGTTTGCCATCTTTAACCCTGGAGGACAAAGTTGTACTTAAAACCATTGACAAAGCCTGATGCTAGTAAGACTGGATCCAGCTGCATCTAGGTGTCTCTCTAAGAAAGACTTTAGAAAGCAAGGGGGTCCTTTCTGTACCTCGTGACTCAACAGGAAGGCTTCTCTAATAAATTTTGTCTGAAGTTCCCACTCCTACCCACAACACACGATCTAGAAGAGTTCACTCTCCTCTCCAACTGGACCCACTGGTGCCAATTTGATGGTCTGCTGTGGACCTCAAAATTTTTAGGATTGTTTCTCTCTTGCACTGTCAGTTACCACTGCACAGCTGCAAAACTGTGAAAAGTTTACTCAGAACCTTTGCTCAGAAACTTTGCCAGGCACATGTAGACACACACACCCACTCAATCTCCCTGCTTGATGCCGCCAGACTTCCAGAATCCTTCAGAAAGATGCCCAGAACCCCTTCTGGAGGAGCTATTGGGGCACTTACTAGAAGAAACAGGATTATAAAATCCCCAATTTTGGATGCATATGCAGGCCCCCTCCTCTGATGGACCAAGACTGTGTATTACGACCATCATCACTCACACATCACTGGAGCCACAGATGGTGATACCTCTCTCTTTTCCTCTCTCTCTCTATTTTTCTCTTTCCAATTTTCCTCTGTTAAGGTGATCATACACTTCAGAATGGCTATATACCCCTTTATGAATTTGTTACCTTTTTTTCCAGTTATGTTTCAAAGCAGCAGTTCTAATAAAATTCACTGTTTTATCAGTTATTTAGCATCATTTCTCTTTAATCCACCCCAACAGATCCCTTTAACAACAAATCTGATCGCTCTGCCTCGCAGGCGAGTCACAATACTGGCTACTTTAAACAATATTTCTAAGTAGTTTTCCAACACAAGAAACACGTGAACATGGCCACTAGATTTATTAGAGAGAAAAATTATTTATACATACAATATATATTATTGTGTGTGTATATATATTATATATAATATATATTTTTATATTTATATTTATATTTAATATAAATATATTTAATTATATTTAATATAAATTTGAGAAAATACCAACCTTCCGCTTGTGAAGCTGGTGATCGTGCCCACTTCTTAATACAGTTAAGGTGGAATACATGATAACAATTCTGACAGCTCCACACTGGGGCTACTATTCGGACCACCTCACAGCATACCATGCACTCATACTTTTCTGTGGTCAGCTGTTCAATCAACGACCCTGCAAATTAAATATATTATTTGTGCATAAAACGTCAGCTAGCTGAGAAACAAAATTCAAATGAAATTCCAAGATTTCTTTTAAATCATAACAAAACTTATTTTACCTGTGTGGCTATAAATGAGATATTGATTTGCTCCTGGAAGTTTTCAGTTTAATACTTTGTATACATTTCTTTAGTTTCAGAGCAGGAAGAAAGAGAATGAGATTCCCATAAAAGTGGCAACAAAAATTCCTGTTGATGAACAGCAATCTTCTGATCTTACAAATTAGTTAATAGTCTTAAGAGTGGTAGAAGTTTGAGATTTTACTCATCACTTTGTATGGGAACTTTATCTTCACATAAAGTTAAAACCAAAAAGACAAAAGTTCTTGGCTACAGAAATTTCAGCCAAAATTAAACTTAACTCCTATCCTTGAGTATTCCTGAGGGACCACACAACAAATATTAATGGTGAAGTGCCTGAATTATGGGAAAAAGCCCTTTTTAAACTGACTGTTTTAGGAGTGGAATTACTGGGAAACAACAGTGGAAGTACAGGTCTTTTGAAGCATATGAAAGAATGCAAGAAGGTACTTTGAAAATAAAGAACTCCACTGAAAAGTTAGTTGTGCAACCATAACAAGAGCACGACATTGCTTCATTTCTGTCAGCTTAATTCTCCCATCAAGGTAAGGCTACCAAGTCCACCTTAAAAATGTCCACAGAATTTTAAAATATCTTAATTACAAGTGTAAAGTAAAAACGTACTATTTTTAGATTGTGACAATACAAGGAAAGTCCAAATTCATACTGAAGGAAAAAAATGAAAATAACAGAAAAAAATTACTATAAACTCAAAATGTGCTTGTACCACACGTGACTGCAAGCAAGCCCATGGCTGCCTGGAAACTTGCAAGTGTTAACACTGTTTGCTCTCCTTAATAGGATTTTCAAGTTTCTTTTCCAGCCCTCCTGCATCAAGCACAAGATTTAAAATTAGCAGTCATTTCTCCTTCTGTTCTCCCATAATTATTATCTGCTGTAGAAGAAGCATCCTCAACTGAAACGTACTTTTCTCCAGAAGCATAAAGCTATACAATACTTAGAACCTATACCTGTACATGGCTTTAAAATGGTTTAAAAAGCACAAACTCAGTCCTCTGCAAATAGTGGCAGACACTGTTTCCAAACTAGCTCCAAAATAAAGCATGCAAACAAAGACTGCCATTTTGGAGGGGAAAGTTCCTTAAGTTGCCTGTAAGAGATCACTACTTCTCTTCCTGCTTTTTGCACATGATGATTTTCACTTAACAATAATGCTGGGAGATCTTTTAAAGAAACCAGGAGCACAGAAGTTACTGCATTTAGGTTACAAAGGATCAAGGAAGATCTTGATCCTTGAGCTTCTCCTAATGGAACATATTTTCCAACTAGACCTATGCTTCCCAGTTATGCTACTACTTTCTCAGGTCTGAAATAGAAGGGATGCTGAGAAGCAAAATTTTCAATAGATTTGATACCACAGTTAAGATAACTCTATCCATCTCTACCATTCTGGGCTGCAGAAGATAAAGTTGAGATACTTTGTAAAAAAAAATTAATATAAATCTTGGTGTTTCTCCTTATTGCCTCTGAACACTTAAGCCTCTTGCCATTTAAGTGCACACTTAAGCTTATATAAAATTGAAAGAAAAAGCTACCTAGGTTTCTGTTGAAACAAAAACACTTTTAGTGTTTCTAATAGCACTGAAAAGATTCAGCTGATTTCCATTTAATGTTTTCAGTCCCTAGTGGTATGGGTTGGCAGAAAATTCACTCCAACATTCAAAACCTGTGAGTCTGCTTTACACTGCGAACACTACGTTTCTGTTCTCAAACTTCCAAAGATAGTATCCAGAGATCGCCTCTATTTCTAATTACCTTTCAATACTACCACTGCAGGAAAAAAGCACAAAATTCAGTTAGGAGCAGAATACAGTTTCTCTGTCTTGGTATTTTTGTGTTTCTACATAACATGAGAAAATTCATTCTGCAGACATCAGTCCTTCTCCAGTCCCATTCTTCACAATGATCAGAATTTTACTTCCACAGCACACACATTTTAATGTGTGATCTCTGACCAGGTCACCATTTGCAGTTTGATAGTGAAACAGAAAAACTGTAAACAAAATCTGTCCTTCCCTAGTAAACTTATAGAATATGTCCTCACTCAGAAACCATGCATCTACATTTAATTCTACCTTCTGAAATGATTACCGATCTAATGTGAAATAATAAGCTTCTTCAGCTACTCAAGGTAGTAGTTGAAGTGAAGAGTTTAAATTATTCATGATTGTATCTTTAATGCAGGAGTACAGGGCAGTCTGGAATGCTTACCTGTATGAGTTTCTTTGTTTTTTGGTACATCACTTTGCTTTTTCCAGTACTGGGTCCAGCTAAAATGAAGTGCAGGTGCCTGATCCCCCTTTAGAAGGAACTTTCTTCCATTGAGTCTGAGGGACTCAGACAATTGATGCCTGACTTCCTTGGTCAAGTTTTCATCGTTTTTGTGGACAGGGAGTTCTTTCTTCCTCTCATTTTTATCTTTCGGAGTATATGCAATAGAAGACTTCTTACCTACTTTTGTGTTTTTACTACAGTGAGAATCATGTCTTTTCTGACACTCTTTTTCTGCAGAGGGTTTATTCCACACAGGCTTCCGGGGATATCTTTTGTTTACATAATTGTAGCCTTTCTGCTCATCCCCACTACCAACAGGTGCATCACAGAATGCCTTTCCAACAGATGATTCTGAAGAGTCAGATTGTGTTAAATCCAAAGATGGAACATTTTCAAACAGCTCTACTTTCTTGTTAGAGCTCACTCTTTTTTCACGGTCATGTACTTGCTTTCCCTTCTCCCTGAAACCTCTTCCAGACGTATGCATCAGATGCGTTTTCTTTGGCTTTGCTCCTCTGCTATCTGCATTAGGTACCTCCCTGTCACTCTCTGAGGAGAGAAAATCATTGTATCCTCTAGGAGGTGCTCTTCTACTAGGTACTATAGCAACATCTGAAACACCAGGACCTGCAGCAGCCTCAGCAGTACTTTGCCTCATCTTATTTCTAGTACATGTGCTATCATTTCTTGATCTGTGCAATCTCTGGCTTGGCAAGTTGCGATTCTTCAAACTTTTACTAGTATTAAAAGACTGGTGGAAGTCTTCAGAATTCCCATATTGACTTTCTGGATTACAAAACCCATGATGCTTTGTGGAAGAGCTTTCATAGTCTGTACCTCTTTCAGAAGATAGACTAGGAAATGATAAATTACTTCTATTCTGATTACTGTTAGAGTCTTTCCTATCTTTATTTACCCAGTTTATATCTGTAGGTTGTCTTTCTCCAGGAATGGAATCAGCAGCATCAGGATTGAAATTCAATGTACCTAAAAATTTAAAAATAAAAGCAAATAAAATATACAAAACTATGAAATAGTAAATACTTATTTTCAGCAAAATTACCACACATGCAAAGGTCCAGAAGTTCAGTCAATTCCACGTTTCACAGAACAACTGCAAACAAGTTTCCAGAAACTAGAAGTGAATCATACAGTGCTTTGTAGAAGCCCCCTCTTGTTATCTTTACAGAAGGACTGTGATGACCCAGAGTTAAGATTATAAAAATAAAAGATAAAGAAAAACGTTTGAAGCAATACAAGACATGCAAGTGTGATAACCAATGTTTAATATCTGAAGTTTTTCATAGCATGTTTACATACATAGACAAACCTGAAGAAAAAGGTGTCCTTTAAATACAATTGTCTACATCTGAAATTTTAGTATTATACAAAACTTTGAATATAAATTAAAAGTAGCAGTAGTAAATGTTTGCATGAACTCAGATTATACTGTTCTACACACAGACAAACAGTAAAGGGACTATCCAGTGCAGCTTTGCAAAATTATTTCCCTGAGGCCATCAACATGAACCATGCTTCTACTTCAGAGTTCTTCTGTAATTTCTGTGTCTCTAAATAAAAGAAAGAGGTGTACATAGGAAATCCCATGTTGCTCAATTTCCTGTAACATTGTGCCAGCAGTGCCTGCCTGCAACAGAAATTAGGTGAATAGCAGGGACAATGTAACAGGCTGGGGCATATTGGTTAAGTCTTACACAGGAATGTAAAAAAGAGAAGAGGTTTCTAAAATCTGAGGGCAGTAGTAGTGATTTTACAGGTAGAGTAGGTTACCCCTCATGGCAGAGCACGGTGCAGTTTATTCCTGGATCATGAGAATTCAAAGAAATAAGTGCTTAGGCTATGACTTAGGCCAGGAGACTCTCTGTCAGAGGTGGACCAACAGAAGCCTACAGAGAATGGAGAAAAATGCAGAAAGGCTGCGAGGAAGCCTCAGAGGAAGAACAACTGCAGCTGTGAGGGGTTGCCTAGAGACCCAGCTACAGGGCACAGCCTCACAAACTTCTGTAGAACTCCCCTGTTTGTACCCCAGACCACTCCTTCCCTTCCTTCCCTAACTCCCAACTCTCCCTATATGGCTGGACATATCCCTTGCGGCCAATCCCTCCATTTTCCCTTATCACTGACCCTTAGGATTTGATGTTCCTAGCAAGAATCCCTCCTTTGTTCCAGACTCTTCTATACTCCCCTGTATATAAACTGACATCTTGTTTTAATAAATGCCATTTTGTGGGTCACCACCCGTGTGACTGTCTCCTAAACAAAGTGCGCCCGAGGGTCTTTTCCCGGGGGACCAAACCCCTCCACGATAACTCTCCAAAAAGCTAATGCTACCTAGCTCTCTCAAGTACTGTTATAGGTTTAAAATCATCTCTTGTAATTTTACCATACTATCATTACGGGGTACATGCTGACAACAGCACCATGATCAACACAAAAGTGGAACAAAACAAACAACACTGATTAGTACTGGTTTTTCTGACTGGACAAGTACTCATTTTTTAATTGACCGCTCTTTATCGAGACACTATTTTTGGCTGAATTTAATTTATGGGTGTCTCAAGTACTGTGTGCAGTTTTAGGCTCCACAATGCAAGGAGGATATAGAAATACTAGAATGTGCCCAAAGGAGGGCAACAAAGATGGTGAAAGGACTAAAAGGTAGGAGCAGCTGAAAATACTAGCTTTGTTGAGCTTGGAGGAGAATGAGGGGTGACCTCAGTTTTCTCATGAGGAGGAGTGGAGAGGAAGATGCTGATCTCTTCTCCCTGGTGGCCAGTGATAGGACATGATGGAATGGCTTAAAGCTTCATCAAGGAAAGGTCAGATTGGATAGTAACAGGAAAAAATTCTTCAATTAAAGGCAAGTCAAGTACTGGAAGAAGCTTTTTAGGGAAGTGGTCCTGACCCCAACTCTATAAGTGTTTGAATAATGCTCTTAGGTATCTAGTTTAACTTTTAGGTCACACTGTGTGATGTCAGGCACTGGACCCAAAGACCCTTTTGAGTCCCTTCCAACTCAATATTCTATGATTATGTGTTCAGTTTATATACTCTCAGTTTAAGTTAAAACTAGTTTGAGGACTGATGTCTTCAGTTTTAAAGTAATTCAAATAACCAATTCTTTCATCTAAAGGCAGTTGACAGCATAGTATGTACATAAGAGTCTATTTCTGTCAGCACTATGAATACCCAGACAAGAAATGGTCCAGTCAGCTGAACATGAAGCACAAGCTACATGGAAGACACTCCCTGCAAATTTTACAGTACCTGTATTGAACTGTACCACAAAAAAAAAAAAAAAAAAAAAAAAAAAAGGAATGGTGCATTCACTTTCCTGTTCACCCTTACAGGCTTTAGAGAAACTCCCTGATATCTTCAGTTTAATCATGCATAATACCCAGCTGTCATTGTGAGGGCAAAATCTAAAAACTACATTCAACAGTAATTACATCAACTGATGAAAAAAATCCATTAACAGCTATTAAATACAATACATTTGTCCTTTCTAGGTGCAGAGGGACAGAAACTAGAAAGACATATCAATGTGAATAATTATTCTACAGTTGCCTTGTTCCTTATATTCTCCTTCTTTGTCCTTTCCTGGGTGTCAATAGTTGTTCACTAACTGGCAAAATGCACTGGACAGGTTGCACATCTGCAGTGTCTGAAAACTGTTATTCTACAACTCCCTGATCTATCCCAAGAACAGAAACATCTTTCAATTTTAAGCTCCTAAAATCATACACTCACTCTGTCCATGAAGTTGCAGGGCAAAACCCAGTTTACACTACTAACACTTCGCAAGTGCAATTCAAAACTTGAGATTGTTGTTGATAACACAGTATTGCCACAACAATGAATCAACTTCAGAACTTACGCCATGCAATGATCTGCTGCAATTATCTTAAGTATTATAAGGCAAATGCAGAAGTGGTGCATCATCCAGACTTATCTACTGCTTTTCAGTAAAACAATTTTTAGCCCAGCATACCTATTTAAAACATTTTATTCCAATATATATAAACCTTACAAAAGATTTCACGATCAGAGCTGACCTGCAGCCTGATAGAATTAAAGATAATCAGACAACCAGACATTTGACCGTACCTGCTTTACTGACGCTATCAATCTCTGCTCTCTGAATCATGTCCTAGGCCATTTCACTTGCCACAAGGCAGTTGAGGGCCCATTTTCATTCTACCAAAAGATGACCTCAAATCACTTTTCCATCATGATAGCCAGGCTGTCAAGAACAGGGGATGTTTAGGACATAGGCTAATGATCATCTTAATCTGAACTAGCACCAGGGTGCTGCAAAGGTAGAGACTGATATTTTCTTCTTCACCTAGGACACAAAAATCCAGGATTCTCCCAGACAGAAATTTAACAACTCTATAAACAGTGAAATGAGTTAGCTCATCAGTGGACCTCAACGTGACATTGATTACCTGAGAAGTTTACCTAGACTAGAAGAAATTAAGAGGTGCGATGAAAAAACTAAATATTATTAATTACTCTGGGCAAGTGTTATTCCTAGGTGCATGTTCAAGACACAATTACGTAAGAATTAAGTGCCTGTAATGCACAATAAATCATTAAATGCAAGGCTGGAATACAGATCTTGAAAAGTTTCCCCCCTTCTCCTCAGCAGCCGCTACCAATAAAACTAAAATTAATCTCAAATTGCATCATACAAGTACGCAGGGCAAAACACACAAAGAAAAAGCGTTTTCTTGCACCAGTTGCACTAAATCCCAGTCCAAGTCGGGTCCTTACGCTCTCCACCCGTGAGCCCTTGCCGAGATTACTCTGGACAGGTAGCAACCTGCTCTAAGGAGTAACCTCCTGCACGTCCAAGACCTCTGCTCACAGACTCCTCGAAAAGCCGCGGTTTTACAGCAGCTTGTAGGGCTAAGACATTGTCACTGTCCCTGCCCTGTGCAGGCAGGCTGAAACCCGGGTCTCACGGGCACGCGTGTGGGTAGAGAGCAATAGGTTCTCCCGAAACCAAGCGCCTCTTTAGATTTTCTCCGACGTTAGCCTTCGTTTATCGCATACTAGAAGCCGATACGTTCCTCCTCAGGCAAAACTCTCCCTAGTGCGTCCTGCGGCACAGGCGAGCCCAGCCATTTTGAGACCCACAGGCGCCGCCGAGCCGCGGCGGGCGGGGGCGGGGCAGCGGCAACAGGTGGTGCCGCAACCTGCACCCCTCGGCGAGCCAGCCAGCCAGCACCCGGCCACGACCACCACAGCACAGCCTTCTGCCCGGCAGTATCACTGCTGCGGAGTGATGGCTGCTCCTCCCCTTCACTGGGCCCACCCCACCCTGCAGGCCTCGGCCCCCGCCCCGCCCCCGCCCCAGCCCGGCAGTGGCACTCACCTGCGCCGGGCCGCGCCTCCGCCATGCCAGCGCCCCGCTCCGCCGCCCGCCCGACCCGACACCGCCGCCGCCGCCGCGCGCGCGCACGGCTCGTGCTCGTGCTCGCGCCCGCGCCACCCCCAAGGCCCCCGCTTCTGCGCGCGCAGCCGCACGGCGCGCCAAGCGCGAGCCGGAGGGCAGGGGCGCGCGCGAGGCGGGAGGGGCGTGGCCGGGGGCGGGCGGCGGCGGCGGCGCGGCCCCTGAAGCCAGGCGGGCCGGGGCACGGGCGGCACTGCGGGTGCGGCCGCCGGAAAGAGCCGGAAAATCGGGAACCCTGTGTGATAATGCAGAGAAGGAAGAAAAGAAAACTAACAGCGTCAAAGAAATGCTAGCGCTGGCAATAAATTGATCGTTTGTTGGCAATCGGCTTGCCTGCTACGTTTTAGAGCCCGGCTAAGCGGGCCAAGAGCAGGAGGGTGGGTTCAGGACAGCTCGTCCCAGTGTATAAAAGATGTGCTTTCTCTAACCTCAGGATAGAAGGCTGTGTCATCAGGCTATCTATTGCATCCTGCATGCAACTGCTTAAAGGAGGTGACAGAGACACACGTGTCATCCCAAAAAGCCCACACAAGGATTCCCATACTCCAGCTGGTACTGCAGACAAATCTTATGCTCCAGCTACAAATACTCCATAAGGATTGCATGATTCATCATACTGCGGGTTTCGGCACCAGTGTTTAGCCATTGTATGATTCAAACCTCTCTGCAGAGGTTTGCAGTGCCATGGTTACAGTACATCTACTGAACATTTCAGAGTCCTTACAGTGCTGCTGATCTTTATAGACACTGCAGAGAAAGTTCACAGTTTTATAGCATCAGCAGCTCTGAAGAAGGGCACCTCAGGAGCACTGCTGCATAGTCTGTCTGCATTTTGACCTCCACACCCTCCTGGTGAAAGTCTCCCTTCAAAGTTCCATTTGCTGCATAGTTCTACTATTCCTAGTGGGCAAAGTTCATGGCTTTAAAGCCCTTAAAGAACCACTGGGCTTATTGCAGAAACACTACCCATTGAAATGCACCCCAGACTCCTGACATTGCAGAGGAAGTTTGCAAACCAGTATGGCAACACCCTTATGAAGATGCTACGTGTTTTGCCATGGATTTTGAGTGTATTTGAAGTTCTTTACTATATGTAAACACAGTGACCATCTAAGGTTGTAAAGAAAGGTATGTGGCAGTGGCATCCCTTCAGAGATGTATGGTTTTCGTCTGCTGTCAAGAAACTTGCAATAGTCCTCTGGTTCCCATAGACTTCTCTGCAACTACTGTAAAGATTGTGTCCATAATATTCACATAGAACTACTAAAAACTACTTTTCATGAATACCACAGTACTACCACTTCAGTATCCACACTCTGTTTTTGTTACCAGCAAGAAAACAGTTTCTGTCTGGAAAGTACTATAGGGATTTTCACCTGTATGTTCTGCTTCACAGTTGCCAATTATTAGGTCTATACAGGTCTACCTTTGTTCTCTGTTTTCCCTTTTTATCTTAACAGTTTTGCTTTTTTTTTCTTTCCTGTCTTAAATTTGCATTGGGCCAATTCCATCCACTCCTGATAGCCTAACTTAATTGCCTAACATTTCTGTACAGGCACGTGATTTTATTTTCTTGTTTAGTATGGCCAACATAGTCTTTTTATCTTTTCCTTATAATTTCTTCTTTTCAATTCAAGGATAGGGTAAGGATCTCCCCACTGTATCATACACCTTCTCTGAAAACATATTTTTTTATTTCTACTTTGTCAAGCTTGAATAATTATTTCCCCATCTTTTTGCCATTTATCACTCATTTCTTTTTTCAGTCGCTGCTTTTTTTCATCTAACCAGTATGCCTCTCTGGAAGTAGCAGGGAGAGAGTGCTCCATATGTAAAGTAGAGCTGGGAGCTGAGGGTCTGTGAATTCCACAATACAAGAAGAGTGAAGAAGAGCGAAGCAAGTTCACCAATAGCCCAGGCAACAGGACAGGTTGCTATGCTAGCCTGTAGTGACGGGCAGCTCAAGCCAGAAGTCTAGCTGTGGTCAAGGATTAGAGGAGGGTAGGCACAAGCATATGTCCAATAGAGTTCAGGTGGAAAGGACAAGAGCAGGTATTTTAAAGCAGCAGGGGAAAGAGCAAGGGACAGGCACCTATTGAGGTTTTTCAAGGCCTGAGATCTGCTTATAAAAGTTGATGCTGAGCTCATCCAGACAAACTCCCAGAGTGGGGGGAAGGGGCATGGGAGAGATGTATATAGGTCTCTTACAAACACAGATGTCTTCGGAAGCAGGGATGCCAATAAACAGCCTTGCCTTCAAGGGAGAGGGGGAGATGAGGTAGGGAAGCAGAAGGAAGGGAAACCCTAGCCACTGTTGTCTGTGTCAGCATGCATACCAAAGATGATAAATCCCTAATAGAAACATATTCACTCCTGAGCTGGCATTTCCTGGAAGGAAGGATTGCAAAGGATTTCCTGGAAGTCCTGATTTTTAAAGAAGCTGTTCCTAGGTAATTCCAGATGCCATTAAGGTTGCAATCCCTGCAGACAGAAGCAATAATCTAATACAGTACTATGTACACCTCCAGAAGGCAAGGGAAGAGTGCTGTGGGCACAGTCAATTGCAGTACACAGCGATGCTCTTTCATCCTTTCCTTCCTTACATAAAGCCCTCATAGATAAGTAAAAAAAAAAAAAAAAAGTCCACCAATGTGTGCTTTTGTTTAAAAAAAAAAAGTCTGTTGCTGGGGACAGCTTTTCAGAAGCATCCTTCCAAAAGCTAAATTTGGGCATAAAATTGAAAATAGAATCCAAACTTCTGACAGATGAAAAGTAAACCACACTATGAGACAGGCTAAAAGGGTTTGAAGAACAACTTACATAAGGCATAAAATCTAATAATAAATCCCTTTCAAACACTTCAGGCTCTGGACATCTCTCAGACAGACTGCAGCACCAAGAAAATTAAAAGAAATTTAGAGGAGAATACAGAGAAAATAACCAAAAATCTAAACTCATTCTTTATATCTGTGCTTACTACAGCAGATATGGATGAGATTCCCAAGCCAGCTCTTCTTTTTTAGAAGGGGACTCACAAAGGGTTATGTTTTGAAAGATTTAGGAATTTCTGAAAGGTATTTGGAGAGGCCAGTCATCAGCTATCAAAAGAAATAAATAATTGCAGGACTAAATAACTGATTGAAAGATAGAACATAACACAGTATGAACCAATAGTCCGTTTTCACAGTAAAAGGAGCTCATCAATTGAGTCCCACAAGGAAATGTTTTGGAACCTAATTTGTGCAACATATTTCTCAAAGATCTGAAAATGGTAGTGTCAGAGGTTTAGGGTTAGGGTTATTTAGGGAAATATAGGCAGGGCAGGCTGAGAAGAACTGCAAGCAGAAGAGTCTTTGGATATTGGGTATATGGGCAAAAAAATGGAAGCAGGGCATATGTGCGGAGGACAGCAAGGAAAAGCAAGAACAATACAGAAAATGGCACAAAATATACAAGGACTTTAATGAGGATTTTGAATGAGAATAAAGACATTCGATTGTGCCTCAAAAAGAACAGTTATGGGTTTACACTAACAAAGTTAAGGCATATTGTTAATGCATGGATTTTTGAAATGTACCCCAGTTGTATGTTGTAATTGAACAAGTCCTGACATGTTCATTCCCTCATAAATTTCCCTTCTTCTGATTGGTTAAGCAATCCCCTCTTTTCATTGGTTAGGATTTGCTGCAGTGTAGGCGGTCCTGACACACCCCTTAGTTGT